ATCTATCTATCTATCTATCTATCTATCTATCTATCTATCTATCTATCAGGTTACTTGTTGGAATAGTTCTGAATTATGATTTAGATTAAAGATAATAAATAATATAATCACCATTTTGCCATTAAATTTAAAAGTCAGTCTTCTCTATGCAAAAAAATCTGAAATGTGGACCATGAAAATACAAAAAGGTTCACAAATCTATAAGTCATTGCGAATGACTCCCAGAAATGTCTCCTCAAAACTAACAGAAATATGCCGACAGGGATCAGCTGTTAAAGATAAATTAACACTGTCTGTAGTGACATTTTAGTTAAGACCAGGACTGTGGAAACGGTCTGCAGGTGTTTTTTTTTTTGTTTGTCTTTTTGTGATCGGACCGCATGCTCTGGTTTAGAGTTTTCTTTTTCAATTTTCCTTACAGAATAACAGGGACTTCAAAATACCAAGAAGTCTCGGATTCTTGGAGGGTTTGACCCAAAGTCAACAAAGGAACGTGTGGTAAAGTGGGGGGCACCACAGCGTCTAAACTCAGTGGAGTATTTTTGTCCATCGTCCCAGATATTGCACGTCTGATTTGCACGCAGGGGCATGAGGGGCTCAGAGTGAAGCAGGAGGGTTTGGTTAGTTGCTCTGGTTGCCAAATGGAGGAAACTCATTCTCATCATCCAGACAAACAGGGCCCTCTGCAAATTCATGCTCAGGGATGACTTCTCCCCTCTGGGCTCCACCCTCCTCAGAGTAGCCTGTGAAGGAAAGAACGGTCACTTAGAAGGAGCTTGTTAATGTCTCAGACTTGTTCTAGTCTCAGAGTGAGTGTGCTACTCGGTTTGAAAGGTTGTGTGGTTGTGCACTCATCTCAGCAATCTGGAGAATAAGATTTATACGCATAAAAAACAAACAAACCCGAGAGTCATTAAGCTAAATGAAAATCTCTAAATATATTATCTGACTTATCAAAGGGTGGTAAGGATTCACAGATTTGAAATTAAGGCTTTTTCTTAGTTTTTTTAGATGTGGGTAACTTTTCAATTGAGTTACAGAAAATATGATTTACTAGTGTTTTCTCCTTTTTTTGTGTGTGCATTGGCGGTGGTAAAAGAAAAATGTATCAGATTTATATTGTGTAGAGTGCAACACCTGTAAGCTTTTATCCACACGTGTGTCCAAATAAAGTAAACAGTGTGACATAAGAGTAACATGAAGACAAAAAAAAGCATCTTTAGCAGATTAGTTCAGACTGTAGAGAGCTATAGAAATTACATCATATATATAATCTGCTCAGGATGCCACCACAAAGCTAAGAACAGGTTTTTTTCTTCAGCGTATGAAAGGGCACACGTTACCCATGAGAGTTGTGGAGGAGGGCTGGGTTGAAGGGAGAGCCACAGTGGCAGCGTATGATTGGCTGGCTGGCAGTGGAGGGACATCCTCTGGATTCTCTTCTTCCTTCTCTTCCTCCTGATCCTCGCTGGACTCAAAGAGTCTGTTTGAACAGAGCAGATGTTGTTCTAACTATTAGTGTTGCAAAAGCAGCAGCAACCACTTCCTTTTTTTTTTAATCGTCAGCTTGGCGGTGTATTTCTAGCATTTTGATGTACAAATATCGTCCTGTATGAATGCACACACCTCTGTTTTTGAATAAGGACGCACTCGCCTCCGTCCTGCGGATCCACGTTGTAGATGTAAAGATAGCCATCTGAGGAGGCCACGAGCAGGCGGGGAAGCTTCTGGATGCTGACGGGCAAAGTGGCACAGCACGTGAGTGAACCGGGAAAAGGTAGCCCCCTCCCTCCCCTCCCCACACCTCATCCCGTGTGCTGCCTTACGTGGCCAGGGCGCAGATGTTCTTCAGGCCAAACATGTTGAGTCGCACGGTGGCGAAGGCCCTGTCCTGGTGCATCATGTCGGACACGTGGGCAGGCAAGTAGGTGCTGGCCGCGGTGAACATTTTGCCCACATACGCCGACCATGTGGGAGACTCCTCCTCTTGACTTGAAGGAAAAACAGAATGGGTTATAGTTCAATACGCTAAGACAACAATATACACTTGTTATGAACTACCTAAAGCGGTTTTGCACGCCAAAAGGAAGAAGTTTGGAAATGATCTTTTCATTATCAGCCACTTTTGGTCAAGAACGGGCCATTTTGAAAACTGACCAACAAGCAAATGTGCCTATTTCTGTTTAAAATTGCTTTAAAAAAAAATAACCCAACCTGTTGATTGTTAGTCGATAGAGCATTAGAATATACTTAGAAACCACCTGTTCATAATTTGTGGTAATTAATCAAACTAGCTAAGTAAAAAGAGCAGCTTTAGAAATTTACATGGAGATATCTAAAGAAATACACACAGGAATGCAAATGAACTGTGTTAAGACACTTTGGCCCAGTCTCTGATGTACTATGGCAGTTAGTCTGTTAAATACTGTTAAAACTGTACTGTTAAAAGCACAGGCAGCAGGACACAACTTTTTTTATTTTGTTATGTAAGCATGTTTACTTTGTAGCGATGGAAATGTCCATGTTTGGTCAGCACTTTTAATCTAAACTGTAGAGTCATTAACTTTAGGGTGAATTAAGAGACAAAAGTGGTTTACCTGGGGCTGTGTTGCTCCAGTTTGAAAATATGTACCGTCTCCGTGTTGCTGGAGGCGCACAGGAACTGAGTATCTGCGCTGAAGGACAGCGAACTGATGCTGACATACCTGAAACGCACCAGAAAACCAGTAGGGTTTGAAAAACGCCATCAAACATGCAAATCTGAGTACATTTTTCCGATAGGCTCTCCATAACACGAAAAGTTGTAACATGCCGCTTCCACTCACTTTCTCTCAGACTAATGTTTTTTCCCACACATCAACAGGTCACATTACTAGATGGTTCAGGTCACACTCACAGACATTTTTCATCATCTACTGACTAACAGAAAGAGAGGGTCTTACTCACCAACACACCTAAGTGTTAAAGAAAAGGGCGGTCACTTAGGAGAATAAGAGTCATCCTGCCACGAGCATTTTAGCAAACCTCTGACATAAACTAGGAATCGTCTCGTCTGTCCGGGATCTGCCCGTTAACGGTTTATGACTGAACAGCAAGGCCGCTAACCTCTTCATCCCTCGCCGGAATTCAAACAGCCTCTGACCCTCAGGAACACTGAAAACTCTGATAACAGTACCCTAAACAGAAGAATCTGGTCAGACAGACTGAAGAGGGGAAAAAATACAAACAGAAAAGGGATAAATACATTTAAAAAACACACCTTTTCTGACGCGCTGGCCAGTTTTGTGCCGGCGGCGTTGAAGGTGAGGGCAGCCAGGGGGCTGTCGTGGGCCTGGACCAGAGTCACGGTGCTCTAAAAGGGGAAAACAAGTGTTTGTTTTTTTTTAAATTACGTTCCACATTAATCTTAAAGAACACAGCGACTGCGGCAGCTTTGTCCTGCGCAGCCTCACCAGGCTGTTGGCGTCGTACACCGTGATCTCCCCAATAGTGGCGCTGCCCGGAAACGCCAGGTAGGAGTTGCTGTGGTTAATGGAGAGTGCACACAGACCTGTGAGGTAAGACATTGGGGATTATTTTCTTTTGAAAGTATAGAAAAAAGCTTGTCTTGTGTCAGGGCGGCAGGGAGTTGCTGTGTTTAGGGTTTGAATTCAAGTGTCTCAGAGTCTTTATCAGTTTGTTCACTTTATCTGAGCCTTTGGCTGTGATGCCGCTTCCTTCCTAAAATGAGTGATCATCTCCTTCCTCTCTCCTGCTTGCGAAATAAAACACTAACTGGGCCCTTGTCTCAGTGGTTTGGTAAAATACCGCTGAGACGTTTAAGTCCTAAAAGAAGACAAAATGGTGCTTTCAATCCCCACACAAAGTAGAAACTCGGGTCTTAATGTGACCTTTTTCAGCTGTGAGTTAAGGACAGGCTGACCTCGGCTGACCTGCAATTAGCTCCGGCCATTAGCTCCTGGTGGCTTCTCTTTGTAAATGGTCAACACAGGGTAAACTAGGATTATATGACCCGAGCCCTATGCTAAGCTCTCAGCGCTCTCCTGTACATTCAATCAAACTTCCCCATCTACTAAATGACAGTCAGTGGTAGGGCAAGACCAGTACACCCAGTGTATTCCTCACAATGCTTTGATAACGTTTCGGCACATGTAGCAGACGTAACTCACTGAACAAGTCTCTTAAAAAGCTGAGTTAAAAGTTTGGGGAAGTTTCCGGCCTTTTCAGGGTACCTGATGGGTTGATGGGTGTGTTGAGCAGGGTCTTGAGGAGTTTCATGTCTCTGATATTGTGGATGTAGATCGACTCTTCCAGACACACAACAAGACGCTGACAACGATATGAGATCAGAGCAATAAAACACTGAAAGCAGTGTGTGTGTGTGTGTATGTGTGTGTGTGGGGGATGAGATCCACCTCCCCTTCTTACCTGTCTGTTGAGCCGCACGGAGAGGATATTGTTGGAGTAGCTGTAGTTACAAATTTCGGTACCCTTCTTAAAGTGGTAGACATTCATCCGGCGAGGCATGGACAGACTGACCACAACCACCAGGCTGCTGGAGAACAGCCGCTCCACTATATAAACGTCTGGACATTCAACTGGGTGGAGAAAAAAAAATATCAGGAGAAAGAACCTGGAATGGTGCACTTTTACAACGACTATTTCTGCTGCTAATGGCTGGGGTCACACACAGAGAGAAGGGCTACGACGCTAACACGACCGTGACAAGATCTTACACACTCAGAGACATGTTCTAAGTGTTCTAACTTCTACAAATCTGTGCGTGCTGTGCGTCAGACACTCATGCGGCCCACATGAGTCACTGCACCGCAAACATGAACTTGACCAAAAAACAGTGTACACACACCGCCGTTATCAGAACAGGCAAAAGTGTCACAATGTGCTGGCTATGACTGGCTTTTTTTTTTTTTTTTTTAACAAGAAGGCAAAAGCAAGCACATTCTGCGCTGAGGGTGCGAATTTGCGGCGGGTCGAGCCGTACCTCCCTCATGGATGCAGTCCAGTTTGTCAACAGCTGTGACGGAGAAGAGCCGGTAGCCGGTTTTAGTGCCCACAGATAGAGAGCTAGAAAAAAAAAGGAAAAATCATGAACAAGAACACAACATTTTTTTAAATCTACGTACACAATGGTGTTAAGATGAATAGCTAAATGGTTATTACTTAGCATTCCAGTAATTTAGTCCACAAACAAACACTTTGAATCAGTCAATGTGAAAATCATTATATTGATAAGAAAGGAAGACCTCTATCATCAACAATCTCTAGCAGCCATGAAGTAAAGAAAGTGTAAGAACAGTCTGTCCACTGCCTATCATTTATTAACATTTCTGGTTGGAGTGAAGCACAGTGTTCACAATGCGGTTGTTTTTTGTGTGGAAAAGTTGCATACATGCAATGATTTATGCTCTGACTCAGAAGCTGATAAGACATAGAGACATGACAATCAAATAACAGCCATGTAGGAATGGCACAAGCTGTAAACAGCTGGAACCCAGGTCGGCTTGGGGTGGGGGAAAAAAACAACAACTTTCATTTCCCTGAAGTAACCTCCCGTGTGTTATCCCAGCTAGTGATGAAAAGGAACATGAAGTCACAGAGATAAGATTGACATTTAGCCACCTGCTCGGGTTTGCAGTCCGGGACAGATGGCACAACTGTTGCTGCAGAAGTCTGCCAATTAACGGGCAATCACCCAGCCAGCCAGGAGGATAGCTCCTCTTTTGTTTTGCTTTTTTACCTCAGTGCGTTAATGATTAACACGATGAGTTAACTAGTCATGGCTCAAAAGTGTTGTTGGAAAGAGATTAAAAAAAAAAACAGATGTGCATTTCCGTCGATTGTGTAAAGCAGTGTTTTGCTAAACGGTGGTAAGAAAGTTAGTTCCGTTGCTAACCGACCACATTACCGTGCAACAGGCCACGAAAGATTATCACCGTGTCCTAATTCACTTCTAGATATCTCCCACATTTGAATGTTGCCCACAGAAGCCCACGTAGCGGTCGCTGCCACATTACTCCTTAATCTCGTAAATGCTTGTAGTAAAATTAAATCAAACGTTTGCACACAGGGCTGAAAATAATTATGCAACGGTCAGGTGCATCAAGGAGATTGAGTTCACGCCGGGGCCCGGTTCGCAGGTTGCTTACGTGGTGTCCTGGTTGAAAGAGGCGCAGATGAAGCCTCGATTAACCCCGGGGCCGTCCGACTCGTCCTGGGACTCCATCCGAGCACACTAGTTCTCTCTCCTCTGGCTACCTGAGGTCGGAGGCCTAGGGCTCGGGTCGAACCCCTGCCGGAACCCACTTCCCCTCCTCTGCTCCCCAACTCCAAGCGCCACGCTCACACTCTTCTGGGGAAAGGAATGTTCAAGCAGGCTTAGACAGCACACATCCTCCACCGAGGGAGCTACCCCAGGTCTGGGTAATAATAAAAAAAAAAGATCAAAGGAAGATCAGCGCCAGCAACTCATCGGGCCGTTTGACTTTAGACGGGGTAGGCTGTATTAATTTTGTTAATAACTTCCAATATTCACACAGCAAAACAAAAACAGCTGATGGGAGGATTCGTCAGTCTGAGGTGCGCCACGATTGGCTATCAGTAACGTCACTTCTCTTATTTGCATTGGCTAAAATTATCAGAGCTGGCGTACAATTTGACAATCAACTGTCCGTCAAAGTAAGACCCGCCTCTCCAGAAGCAAAAGGTGTTGATTGGCCATCTCTACTTTCAGTCTTGTCACGAGGAAATGTTTTGGTGATTTCATTGGATGAGATGCCAGGCTATATCAACAAGCTTCAGGGGGAGGCTTAGGTGCCCGAGCAAGTGATTTTTCTTCCCCTTTTTAAAAATGTTTATATTCAAGTATTAATTTTAGATTTGGATTAAATTACATTTTTAAAGTATTCAAAGTATTTCACACGACCAGGTTTTTGACACCCCACTGCCTCTCGACACCAATGGGCATACTTTTAACCAATCTGTCCATGACTAGTTTGCAACATTCAGTGATGCAAGTTTAGTTAAAAAGTTAACTTAAAAAAATTAAAAAATATCCACCAGTGTCTACTAGTGTTCCTATAAAGAGCATACGATACAGGAGCACATTTCTTGCACTTCTTATTTCCTCTCATTCAAACTAAAAACGACTAGATTATCTTTTTAAGATTTAATCTGAATTCTAGATATGAATCGTTCTTCTTTTTTTTGCAATTCCTCAAACATTTCATTGACGTCACGGTTTCCGTGCAGGCTCCTTTAAGGTTACTACGGGTTACGGGCTCACATGTCAGAACGGGGAGAATTGACGTCAGTGACGGCTGTTGATTGGTTCTCAGCCGTATCCGGTGGGGCAGCGGTCCAGAGCTCGGGAAAAAAATCGAAGCGAGGAGGAGGATCTCGTAACGGTGCACTTTGTGATATATCATACGTTCCGAGTATCTATTGAAAGGCTCGGCAGGATTTTACAGTTTCGTGTGAGTATTTCTGGCGTGTCGACTGGTTGAACATATGACCTTTATAATAGGTGAAATTTGTTTTCTCCGTCTCTCGTTTGTTTATGATAGAACTCAAGATGGCGTCATTGTAGGAGAGCTTTGCCTTTGCACGGAGCTAGCCAGCTAGGCATCAGACCAGACGCATTCGTTGTCTCGCAGCGCTGGCCAAATATAGTTAAACTAGTCAATCATTTTTATTACTCTTCCGAGAATGTGTTAAATGGTTAAACACTTTAGGTCCCCACCTTGGCATTATCTTCCTGGTATAAGTTAGTTGACTGCAGCCGTCTGTTTTCTGGTGAAGGCTTGCTGACCTAGACGTTGACACAGACGGGGCATTTTCTTCATGCACTCTCTGATAGCAAACCCGTTTTCTTTTTTTTTGTCATTTTTTATGCCTCAAAAGATGCAAATTTATCAAGCTGCACCCAGTATTTATCAATGCCTTCTCTTACACAAGGTCATTGTGCGTGGTTGTGCTTTCTAATTTAATTGAGGTTCGTTATTTGATAGAAAACAGAGGAAATGCTGCAGCACGACGACTGTATCAAGGAACGGATATGGTTATGGTATCTTAACATTCGAGACATTTCAGATTGAATCAGACCTGCTCGCAGGCCCCGTTTCTATATGTTGTCAGTGACTCTTAATTTACACCTCCTGGTCCTAAAACGTTATAATCTACCACTTGCTTACTCCCCTGCCAGCTTTGGATTTAAACGAGCCTGCTGGGTTTCCAACTTTACAGTATTTAGTTACATAAAGGGTTTGCCAGACTCATCTTTGATAACAGGGCTAGTAATCTCCCTTGGGCCTTGTCAGATTAGAAATTATCCGAATCCTATTATGGTCCTGCACATGGACCATACACTTGCAGGCACAAAATGGATTGTTCAGTTTGTTCCATGGGACTCGTTGTTCTCTCATTTACTTCTCTAAAATGCACACATCGATTAGAGCCAGGCTTTAGGGGCATTCGTGTTTTAGACTGCACAGTTAGTTTTAGCCGGGAGCAAACAGCAACAGTTTATCATGCGGACCGGTCAGATGATCTAGGACAGGGGTGGGCAACTCCGGGCCTCCGGGGCTGCTGCCCTGCAGGTTTTTAGAGGAGTCCCTGCTTCTACACACCAGATCCACATCAACACAATATCAGCAGTTCTGTGCAGAGCTAAACAATCTTTAGAATAGATCCATTTAATCTGAATTGACCTGAACCTCTAAAACCATCAGGACAGCGGCCCTTGAGGCCCGGAGTTTCCCGCCCCAGTTCCAGGATGTGCTATAGGCCGTGTTGTCCAAAACAAGACTGTGGTCAGAGATTTTGCAAACTTAACCACGTGCATGTGCTGTTATGGTTCGACACATTTCACAAACGATTGATTTGCTTGCCTTCACTTATCCATTTTGTGAAAATTCAAGCCCCGTTTGTGATAAACAATCACACACAGGTAATTATGTCTCTGTAATTTTTTTTTTTTTTAACTGATGAATGACTCAAACTGTTTTGTAAATGTAAGCCCAGGACAGACTGAGTGCCTGTTATATTTTGGTTTCAGTCAGACATGTGTGATCACATCATATGACCAGTTTTCACTCAGTACTCAGGCTCCATCGTGACAGAACAACGCCCCGTCTCTCTGAGCTCTCTCTCACTCGGGCTCTATTTTTCTCACTTGTTTTCTGCCTGTTTGTTTCTCATCTTGACACGCAAAAACACATTTGCTTAGTCTCACCGTCTGTTGGGCCAGTGAATTCATTTTGTACAGTGATGATCTGACATTGGGCTCTTTTCTCCACTTAAGCACAAAGGTTAGAGGTCACAGAGCAGGGTTGTGGTTGTCGTCATGGCATCTGGAAGTACGAGCAGCGAGGAGGAGCGGAGCCTCAGGGAGTGTGAGCAGTACGTGCAGAAACACAACATTCAGCAGCTGCTGAAGGACTGCATTGTCCAGCTGTGCACCTCCAGGCCGGACAGGCCCATGGCCTTTCTCAGGGAGTACTTCGAGAGGCTGGAGAAGGTTTGTGGATCTTGGATATTGTTAATGATGAGTATAAAGACATTTAAGCATTACATATGCTCATTTCCCACCAATTTTTTTCTGAACCACCAAGCATTTGTTGCATGAATTTGATATATTTCAAATTTCTGCATGTCCATGACACTGTGGAGGCCCCCCCCCCCATCAACTCAGTTTTCCACTTTAACTCATTCACTGTCTCTCTGTAATTTGTTAATCTAAATTTTCATCATAATGAGCAACCTTCTTCTTTGTTTTAGTCGGTACACTTTTTAAAATGTTGCATTATTTTAGTTTTCTGGCCGCCTGCTTCAGTACATCCGGTGTGTTATCAGAATAATAACCGAGTTTATTATCGGCTTCAGTTTTAGAAGTTTCCCTCAGTCGTAGTAGAGCTGTATATGAGATAAGGTTATCAAAAACAAGGCTAGTTTTAAAACTATCTGAAGACGTGCCTCTGAATTATCCTTCGGCAGCGTCATTCAGTGCTACTTATTTCTTCCTCCTTTTGTTTTTTTTACAAAAAAGCATTTTGATTAAGCTAAAAAAGAGAAAAAAACTACAAGTTTATAGATATGTCAACATTTGCTAGAAAGTACAGAACAATTTTTAAAAGGAAGTATGTTTTACATGATAAATTATTTCCATGAAGAAAAACACCTCCATGACTACACAACAGGCCAATCTTTTCTGTCATGTTTACTTGCCAGTGATGGGGGGAATTTTTTTTTTTTATTACCAGAACCTCTGATTTATTAATAATGGTTCTGGAAAGGCCTCCTCAAAGGCCAGGATGCACTCAGTGACACAAAGGAATTTACTGATGATGTGAGTCCTGATAGGAGCAACAGGAGGAATGCAGGGCTTTTCAGGAGTCTTGTGTTGCACAGATTCAGGCAAACACATCAAAGCTTAGCAGCCATGTCAGTTTTCTGCTCAGAGGAGCTGCGTTCCACCGGCTGAAGAGAAACGGCTGAGCTGAAACCGAAGGCTGCTCTCTGCGACTCAACCACTTAGTTTCAATGACACTTCTTTCCGCCTTTGGCGCCATCCAATCCCTTTCCTCCAGGAGGAGACCAAACAGATTCAGAACCAGCAGAAGGCCAGCAGTTCCCGCTCAGACTCTCGCGATGAGGAGGTGTCCCCACCCATGAATCCGGTGGTCAAAGGCCGCCGGCGGAGAGGAGCCTTCAGCGCGGAGGTTTACACAGAGGAGGATGCAGCCTCCTACGTCAGAAAGGTAGATCCAAACCCATAGAAAAGGCCTCAGTCTAACTAAACGAACACATCCTAAGCCCTGTTTTCAACCTGGTTCACAGGTCATTCCAAAAGATTACAAAACAATGGCTGCTTTGGCTAAAGCCATTGAAAAGAACGTGCTCTTCTCACACTTGGATGACAACGAGAGGAGGTACTTGTTAGAAGCACAATTCTCTCATGCAGTCTGGATGTTTTCCATTCTATTCGGCTGATCCATCCCTTTTTCTTTTCCTTTTTTCTCAGTGACATATTTGATGCAATGTTTCCAGTCACCTATATTGCTGGGGAGACAGTTATTCTGCAAGGTAGGCTCCTTCCTGAGTTACCCCAATAAATCCAATGCATAGCACACACAAGTGTTACACCGATTTTGTTATTTACTCTCAGGTGATGAAGGTGACAATTTCTACGTCATCGATCAAGGGGAGATGGACGTGAGTGTCTGCTCGTCATTGAGAACTTTTAGAGATTTTTTTTTTTCCCCGTCACTTTTGTCATTTTAACATGTTGCCTCTTCCCTTCACTATGACAGGTGTACGTGAACAATGAGTGGGTGACGAGCATCGGGGAAGGAGGCAGCTTTGGAGAGCTGGCCCTGATCTACGGCACTCCCAGGGCAGCTACGGTCAGAGCCAAGACCAACGTGAAGCTGTGGGGCATCGACAGGGACAGCTACAGGAGAATACTCATGGTGAAGACGCATGCTTTCATTCCCCAGACCCCCAGTGCCGAGGCTTTGTGGTTGTCTAATGCCCATGTCCTCTTTAGGGGAGCACTTTGAGGAAGAGGAAGATGTACGAGGAGTTCCTCAGGAAAGTGTCCATCTTAGGTGCGTTGCTTTTCTTTAAACGGCTTTATTTTCCAAATGGAAAAATAGATGCAGTGTTTCGCACAGGGATAAAAATAACATGAAAGTGCATGTAAAAATATCCCTTCTTTTCCCTGTGTGATCTGTCAGTTGAGCTGAAAACTTTCCATGTCCTCTGTCCTCAGAGTCTCTTGACAAATGGGAGCGTCTGACCGTCGCTGATGCCTTGGAGCCCGTCCAGTTCGAGGATGGACAAAAGATCGTTGTGCAAGGGGAGCCTGGTGACGAGTTCTTCATTATCCTGGAGGTATCCACGTCATGAAAAGTTTTCTATCACAAAAAAATGTTACACTCCCGCCAGCAGGCCAGTAGAGGCCAGAATTTCTCATTTTTCACCAGACTTGATTTGCTGCATGTTGCTGATTCACCAAATTTCTCCTAGAACTTGGATCTTTATGTGAAATATTGCAGACAGGCGTGCAACAGGCACATTGATGAGAAAAATTCCACAAACTTAACTTTATTTGTTTATTTGAAGAAATCTGTTTTGTGACATTGCAATACGATGATCGGTGCTTTTAAAATTCAGGACAGTTGGTCTCTTAAAAAGCATCTTACACAAACCAAAGAGACCTGTATGTGAGCAGAAACTCAGACAGAACCGTAGAAACCGTCTGCAGGAAGCAGGCAGAAGACTGCAAACTGATAGTTAGCCACAAAAAACAGGCGGGCCAAATTACAGTTTGGCAAAAAGTGCTTAAAGGAGCCGGTAGAGTTTATGCAAAAAACCATCACGAGCAACCAAGAACAAGAGAACCCTGTTTTAGTGATGGCAACAAGAGGGAGGATAAATAAGGAATGGCCCAAAGAGCCAAATGAATTGGAGTAAATTCCTCCAAACTCATGGCCCCGGCTTGTTCTTTCCTCAGGGCTCTGCAGCGGTTCTGCAGCGCCGCTCAGAGAACGAGGAGTTTGTGGAGGTGGGGAGATTAGGACCGTCCGACTACTTTGGTAAGTACAGCCCCCCCCCCCCCCAGTCTCACCCCCCCCGTGTCCCTGTCCACGGAGAGGTTCTGTAATGGCTGTCCTCCCCAGGTGAGATCGCCCTGCTGATGAACCGCCCCCGCGCCGCCACCGTGGTGGCCCGCGGCCCCCTGAAGTGCGTCAAGCTGGACAGGCCTCGCTTCGAGCGCGTCCTGGGCCCCTGTTCGGACATACTCAAACGCAACATCCAACAGTACAACAGCTTCGTGTCGCTCTCCGTCTGAAAGAGCACCCCCTCCTCTCCCTCCACCCCCCCGCTCTCACCCCCCCCACCTTCTCTCCTTTCAGACCCAGGGTCCACCAATGCAATTTGCTTTTCTTTCTTTTTTTCTTTCGTTTTCTTTGGTCACTCTCCTCCTCTTTCCTTTTGCTCCCCCCCCCCCCCCCCCCCCTTTTTTTTTTTCCACACACGGATCATTTTGCTGTTACCACCCGTCACACACAGGTGACTTTTAGCCACTCACCAGCGCTTGTACCAGCTGCTGTACGCTACCTTGTAGGCACAGTTACATCACGTTACTTCTGTTTTTCTATACCAGTATATTTGCTGATTACACTTTTGTTTTTAGGTTCAAACTCAAAGCGGGAGATCTGAAAGACTTCAGAGTCTCAGACTTATGAGAAAGACAATCAGACCTTACAGGCGCTTTTGGTGAATTTGTCCAATTTTACTTTGCAGACAAAGGTGAAGCCTGCTTCTCTTTTAAGAGCTTCCTTTTTGACATCATTTAGTTTGATCAGTTAGACAGGAATTTTAGCAACCAGGACGAATATGATTGCGTAAAATTGCCAGCGTTTTTTTTTTTTCTTCACTTCCATTTTGTCTATAAGTTTCAGCTGTAATATGATGCTCAATCTGTTCATTTTTAAAACTTTTTTTAATGACCTTTAGATCGGTGTGAAGAGACGAGTCCTGTCAGTTTGGCGTAGTTTAAGAGAGCTTGTGCAAATTAATTGTTTTTTTTCTTTTTAAATTCTAAAGCTACCAGGCTAGTGCCAAATGTTGATTATTATCACAGCGCAAACATGCATAGAGGCAGAGATGCAGAGCGTGTTCTGTTGCCTGGAGCTCCGGCAGGAAGCGGTTTCCACCCATATTGTACTCTTAATTGATAGAACGGCCAAACAAGAACTGCCTTGAGGGGAAAAATCTACAGAAAAATAACGACGGGAGGGGGGGCGGGGGGCAGACCCAACAAAAAACGGAGTATTAAGCAAATTTCAGTATTTAGGTTATTTAGTATATACCAAATAACTTGGTCACTCTTCTGCTATGGTTTGTAATCAAAATGTTATCTTAGTATAGTTAAAAATGATCATAGTTCTATCATTATCATTGACAAAATGATAAACTTCTGGTTTGGAGTGATGGTGATCTTTAAAAAGTATATGTTTAACTGTCTTTTGTAAACACTTATTTTTCCATAAATTCTATTTTAGGTGTTCAGTGCCACAGAGTAAATAAATGCTTCTTGTCAACTGACATTACAGTATGTAATTGTATTGTGTGAAATGTCATGGGGGGGGGACTTTAAAAGAAATCAAAAGGCTAATTACAGGTTTATTGAAGTGAAGTGTGGAGGGGTGGGGAGGGTGGTGGTTTATGGATTTTTCAGGACATCTGAAGTATTTCTGGATCCAGCTTCACCCCGGTGAGCTGACGGGCAGAGCCAGCAGATATTTATTTAAAACTAGTGTCATTTGCTTATTGCCTTTTATGAAGAGGTGGCTGTCTTTTCATCAGAGTAGCTTGTGACCTATTTTCTATGCTTACTTGGCATGATGTTTTAGGCATTCGGTGATCTGGCGTGAATGGAGGCGTGTATAAAGGAAAAAAAAAAAAAAAAAGTCCTGCAGCTTCATGCAGAAGCAGGAAATTTGTCAAATATTTGGTTTGTTACTCCCTTGCTTAACTGCTGCTGCTTCTTGTTTCTTTTTTTGTTTTTGTTTTTTTGTTTTTCTTAAAGATCTTTACCAAATAACACAATGTTGACTTTTGGATTATAGGCTTAACTTTTCATTCCTGCCTCACTGTCTCTTACTGGAATACATCTATTATGAGATTTGTGTCATTGAAGATGTGCGTTTGATTTTTTATTTTTTTTTTTTTGCCAATTGCAAAGTTAGTCAGGTTGGTGAGAGGTTTTGTGAATGGATTGGAGCGTTTGTTTTTCTTACACTTAAACCGACCATTGGTTGTCCCTGACCCTCAGGTTGTCGTAGTGGATGTGGTTACACGTAGATTTGTGTCCATCGACAGCACATCCTGTTTGTCCTGATCCACAGGAACAGACTCCGTTAGCGGTGAGGGCCTCATTTCTCTGGAGCGTTTCTTTTTTTTGTTTTTTTGTTTTTTTGTCCTTGTTAATAGCTACATCCAGAAGGTTTTTAGCCACACTGCAATCGTCCCGGTTTGCCTTAGCTTAACCTAACCTGGGCTTACAGTAGTCGCCAGCCACTCCTGCTAGCCCGACCTTCAGTGGGTTTGTTCGGCGTGCAGCACGGGAAGCTGCAAGCCATCAGAGGACCATTCTTTTTCTATTCTACCCTGTATTTAGTTTGACCTCCTGTATGTGCAAAGATGTTTATCCTTTTGGTATAGATTGTTCCAGATGGCAGTTTAAGCAATAAAAAAACTTAAAAAACAATTGTGCTTTGGTTCTGATTCTTCTTCTTTTCTTTCTGGATCTGAGCTGTTCTGCAGTTTGAGCCTCACGCTGAAGCTGGACATTTTTATGTTGTTATTACGATGTTATTATGAGGTTATTGGTTAAAGTGCATCCATGGAAAGTTTATTTTTTTCTATATTTTTTTTTTAATGGACAAATGGCTGCCACAATGACCCATTTAGTTTCTAATAATCCAGCCCAATATTCAACCATCAGTTATGTAATCATAACTGTAGACAGAGAAGTAAAGTGTTCTCAACTCAAAAGCGATTTTGGGATCTTGGTCACAACTTTTCAAAAGTAAACCAGTTTCAGTTTTATTTTTTTCACAGTTAGTAACAATCCAATGAGTGCAATATTGTCAATGGTGGAAGCAGTGTGTCGGAGGGGTGTTACACCACGTCTGTCCACCAGGGGGAGACGTAAAGCTTCTATTTGCAGTGCTGTGTATTAGCCCATTTCTCTTATAATTATTACAATAATGAAGAAAACTTGATGTTGCCTGCACGAATTGGCCGTTTTAAAGTTATTTGTTAGAGATGGAAATGCTTAAAGTGTATATTTTTTTTGTCACCGGCTTAAAAGCAAATTCAACCAACACAACCTGGTTCTAGGGTGAGGATATATTAGATATCAAGGGCAAAAACTTCACTTGGTTTGTAACAACAAAAAATGGAACTTCATATGCATGTAGTGACAAGTTCAACTTGTAATCGCTGAAGGTTTTCGGTTCCATCTCGCCCCCGTCTTGACTTAAGTGTCGCAAAGCTGTTTCGACACTGTTGCAACGATGGATTACAAGTCTGAAAACAGAGTGGTGTGAGCCTTTTACACACCCACCCTTCTGCTGCCGCTCTTAGGCAATGAAATCTCTTCAGAACACGTGTTGAAGCATAAAATAACTTTATTTGTGATTTCTCTCTGCAGTAACAGCGTACGGCAGGCTGAAACGGGCCTGTTGATCCGGTGTGACCACAGGCTCCACGGCTGGTAGTGATGAACTCCACAGTGGCTGCATGTAGAAGTGAGATCCTTGTATATCTGGTTTATATAAATAATCTTGCGGGGTGAAATTTGTGCTCAATTGTTCCCTCAAAGGTGTTGCTTTTAAATGTACGAACCCCTGACCTGAGTGTTCAGAAAAATCTAAGTCCGTGGCCTGGATTGACATCTCTGTGCTTCTGTTTGAATCCTCGACAATGAGGTTCACTCTTCTCTCTGACAAGCCCGTCTGAAGGTTTTGGTTAAGGTGGTCCATTAAGAGTTTGCTCTGTTAACTAAAATCTGAAATCTGAAATGGTAACCAGATGTGCTGAAGTCTCCTGAAAGCATCAGTCCCACCGGTCTCCCCCCCCCCCCCCCCTGTCACCTGGACGCCGCCCCCTCTGTGGCAGTCTGAGCTCTCACCGCCGGCTTCACAAAGTCCTGGGTGATCACCTCGTCCTCGCCCAGCCTCCGGACGCAGCGCTGCACCGCCCGGAGGACCTTCTGCAGCCTGCGGTCCAGCGCCAGCAGGTGGGGCTCGGTCAGGACCGGCCAGAGCGGGTCCCCCCCGAGGGACTCCCTCATCACGTCGCTCAGCTGGAACTCCGGCTGAGCCAGGAGCTGCAGCCTGAGCAGCGTGGAGCGCTTTATCCTGCAAAAAAGAAAAGGATTAAAGCAACTGAAATAACACAGGAAAACGGACTTAACTGGACCACTCACAAGCAGCACTGAGATAGCGGAGCCAGGATGGACATCTCATCTCTAGAGTGCTTCCCAAACCTGGGGAGGAGATTCAGAGACAGTTAGAGATGGAACCAAAAAGCATAATTTTTTTTTCGGTTTTTTTTGTGCTGGAGATCGAGCCCACCCTCTGGCGTTGTCCAGGTGGAGGATAAATCCTTCATCTCCAAATTTGGTGAAAATCTCATAGTGGTGTCTGTCCATGTTCCCTGTTGGCAAAGAAAACAATTGTAGCTTTGACAGTGTTAAAAGAACAAAGCATCATATTTCCAGGTCAGTAGAAAGAGATACCTATCAGGAAGTCGAAGATGGACATGTCTATGATGTTGAGCAGCCTGTTGCCTGAGTTGTACGGGTACATCTGCTTTATTGTGTCGCAGTAGAATGGATTCACCTCCCACCTTTAAAAAACAAAATCATGGACACGAGGAAACAAATAGGTTTTATGGGAATTGGGATTTCTTAGACAAAACTAGTTGATTAAATAATAAAAGTGCATTCATACTGGAGCGTAGGGTTTTCTGTATATATTCTGTAGTTGTTGTAAATGTTTTTAAAAAGTCAAAAGCATATGATCCGACCCGGTCTGCCTCACTAGTTTTGTTTTTTTGTTTATTTTCTTGGCCAGATTTGACTTGAAATGTTGAATGCAGGACAGTAAAGCAGAAGTATTTCAGGCACAAAGTGATGGGCAAACTTTTCTCTGTTGTTCAACGATTTCAACATAACTTAACCAGGTGGTCGGGGAATCTAGTAAAGATCAGGTTTTTCCTGTGTCGATGCCACCCGATTCGAACCCAGATGACTAAAATACGGTGTGCTGCTGTTGAATCTTACTCCTCCCGTCCAGTGAAGGTGTAGGAGCGGGCCCAGGGGTTTGGGATGGAGAGGCGGGGGGCGATGCTGAGGCCCGGCAGGTAGGCAGAAAGTGATCCCTCCAGCAGGTCGGGGCTGCCGCACACGGCGTACTCCGTCTTACACACGTACAGGCACTTGGCAAAGAAACAGGTGTTGTTTGCTGTGCAGAAAACAGAGGAAAAAAACGGCGCCATGTAAAAGGTTAGGAGGGCTACCATCTGGACAGGTCAAGGCTACACAGAGACACACAACCAACCACATCCACTCTGAGGGACAATTTAGAGTTAAATTAACCTGACTTCCAATGGTTTTATACTGTGTGTGTGTGAGAGTGTGTGTGTGGGGGGGATTATTTCATAGAAAGATACAGGGGCACCCATCTTGTCATTAAATTGAAAGCTTTCACAGTTATCGTCTTTAAAGTTTGCTGTACTTTTTCGAATCTCCCAATTATGGCGTCAAGAAGCTGTTCATCTGCATCCTTACGAACTGTAAAGTTCACACTAAGCACAATAATTACAGATGCTGCTTTGACATAAATGGAAGATGCAAAGGTAAATTTATGGTTGGCAACTCTTTTGGAACTATTTGATGGACACCCTGTCAAAAAAAAGCTGGGATCTAGTCTGTGGGCCTTCTTATGAGCATTACTGGTGACTTCCTTTGTTTTAAGGGAAAGAAAACTCATGCTGAACCATGTTTTGTTTTAAAAGTGCTCTCTGACAGCCTCTTATACGTGAAGTAACCGACGGGCTATTCAGGCTGTAAGGCTTTGAATATTAAACGGACGAAAATGTGCTAAAAAAATTATTGCTCTTTTAACAGAAAAGGTTTTTAAAAAAAAGATGGAATAACACCTCTTGAAAATGGCCGGTCTTTTTCTTGCTGCTTTATAAAGAGGGAGATTAAGTGGAAAAAAGAAGACACAAAGCAGTTTGATTTAGCTGAAGGTGTTGGCTTTGTGGAGTTTGCATGTTCCCCCGGTGTGTGCGTGGGTTTTCTCCACTGTCCACAAACATTCATGTTAAGCCTAATTAGTGACTCTGAGTTTACTGCAGGTTTGTGCATGCTGACTCATTTGTCTTTATTAAAACATATCTCCAAGCATGTGAGTGAAAATGCTTGAATTCTGGGAAAAATATGACATTACCAAGTAATTTGCATAGTTAAAAAAAAACTTTCACAAAGTAAAATATGCAATGGAGCCTGCGGTTTAAAGAAAGCGATTTAAAAACAGGACACGCTGTTGTGCCTTACTGAAAACGAGAGTTGTGAAAAGTAACAGGATGAGAAATGTCTTAAGGAGGTTGTTCAATGTGAAGAGCTGAAAAAGATGTGAGTTGCTCCCCGTCAGCTCATTCAGAAATGAAGAAAAATGAATGTAACGGCATGTTTCCCCACTGACTAATAGCACAGGGGGATGTCCAAACAAACGTTCGTTCACGGTAAGGTCATCCTTTAATTTCCTGAGGGAGTCTTAAGTACAAGTCTGAGTCTAAGTCTAAGTCTAAGTCTGTCTCCCTACAGAGCAAAGAGCACTCCGGTGTTTGGAACATGGGGAACATGGGGAAGATCTGGTACCTGGTGAGGTGAAGAACACGGCTCGTAGGTCTTCATTGTGGGCTACCTGTAGAACTTCTCCTGTGACGTTAACTCGCCTCCCAGCCACCGGTGGAACCCTCCGGAAGTCCAGAATTCTGCCACAAAGGTAATGAGATTTAAGATTTTTTTTTAAAAAAGGTCCACAGAGTTAAGCTCTTCCAGGATAAGAAAAAGTTATCTGTTTATATCGAGGTGAACTTGATAATGGTTTTTATCTCTCCTCCGTCGTCTGACTTTGGCTGATCTTTATCACAAATGTAGCATTACAGGAGCCTCTAACCAGTGTAATTAAGCTGCTGTAGCTCAGCTACGCCATCAAAAGCTTACACTTCCCCTCGGGGGCCAGACTCCAGGCGTGCTCTGCAAACGGTAATCAAACGATCATGTGCGAAGCCCAATTGCTGTTTCTAAAATTGCTGGCATTCCCAAACCCTGATTGCAAATGATAATGCTGAAGTTTTCTGGCATCCAGCTCAGACACAGAATCAAGAAAAAGATGCACCAGAAAAACACACAAAAAAACAAACAAAAGGAGGAGAAATCCTCCTCACACTTTACAGGTGGACTCATCTCTATTTTGTGCAGACTCGAGGCCCTTCCAGTAGTTCATCTGGCATCAGACATGACCCGGCTGCTGTCTGTCTGGTGAGGCCATGACTTACCACTGTGTGTGGCTTCATAATGATACTGTCTAGTTCAGATGATTGTATTTCAGAATGAGTCACCTCACCTCAGCTTAGAGTGCCATTGACTAAAGATGTGTTTATGGAGTCTACATCCAAACTATGTGGTTTAAACTGATCTGCAAGTTGGGAAATCCTTAGAGGAGCAAACATGTTGCAATCGATTCTAGAGCTGAAACATGTGCTGCCAGGAGGAGACCAAGTATAGAAACAATAGCTTGGAGTCATGTGTGATTTTGAGGATTTTTAAAAAAGACGCTGTTTTCCCCACAGCTTTGGGAGATTCAAACTCTTAAACCTATTCCCCATCACACCTCAGCTTCTTTCACAAGTCAAACATATTTTTCTGTTGGCAAATGATGCACTGTGTCGCAACATCACAACGTGAAATAGGTTGAAGTTTGTTTAACTGGTGGAAAAGTCGTCTGCATCCTTACAAACTGTGAAGTTCACACTAAGCGCAATAATTACAGATGATGCACAGTCAGTATGGTATCTGATCTTTGAAAAAAAGAAAAACTGGGAGCAGATTTTGGGCCAGACCTTGTCTACAAAGTCCTGTAATAAGAGTCAAACGCCAAACTAATAGTTTGTTGAGGCAGTGCTCAGTCACAGAGGTTAAATACAAACATCAGCAAGCTGACTTAGCGTCTCAGGTAAGGAATTTTGGGTTGCTGTCGGCAAGAGTTTATGAAAAAAAAAAAGATAAAATATCCTCTCAGGCTCAGGAGTCGGAACATGTGGGCAAAGATGGAGAAATCATTTTGAAGTGTGTCACAAAAGCAAACGGTGAGGCTGCACCTGTCCAGGTGAGAGGCGGCGATCTCTGCGTTGTGCCTCTGGAAGTCAACAAAGTAGAAGACGTCGTCCGGGGTCTCTTCGTCCCTCTGCTGCCTGAGACACAGACAGACAAACAGGTAAAGACGTTATGGACAGTGGTCCAAAGACCGCCGTCAACTAAACGTCTCTGAACTAACCCACACGCCATGATACGAGCTCTTTACTGTGTAACACGCCAGGTAATCCCACCTGGCATGGGAGGTTTTAGCTGGATTTCATGAAAACGCACTCAGTGCTCAAAACATATTTCACAACGGACGTGTTTACTGGTATGAAAATGAAATAGGCTCCCATCTGAGGAGGCTTCACCCATCACCTCATCGGTTTGAACATGACTTTAGCAAAGTTGTGCATTTTCAGGGCCAGCTTCAGGTGATGTCCGCTGGGTTTCACCACTGCAAGAGAGAGACGAGAGAAGCCTTATGTCATATTTACATCATCTATGCAACAAAAAGAAGCAAAGAAGCAAACTAGATGAAAGGTAGGTATTCTGAGGTCATTTGAGGGGAATTTAAAGTGGCAGAACTCTCCAAGTCTGGCAGTTCTATACAGTAAAGCAACTGTTCCAACAGCCAGCACTCGGTCAGCCTCTGTCTGTATTTTATGTCAAAACAGAGGGCCAAGTAAACCGCAGACTTGCGTGCCCCTGCAGCCCCCCCCCCCCCAAAACTCCACTTTATTAATAGCAAACAAGCATCTATAGTTTAAAGTCGAAACATTTCTGGAGAAAGATCAAAGCTAAAAGCAGCTGGTGCGGCCGGCGAAAGCTGTCTGTTTGGAAGTGAATAATCACACACGTATTAAAAAGAGCTTTGTGAGGCTAAATTTAAACAGGTTGTTTTGGTTGCTTTTTCTGCTTGGCGTTTTAGTCACATTCGTGTGGGGAAAGTCCACAGTGATCTGACCCAGTACAAAAACAACCAAGAAAGGAAAAGTATTTTTCCTTGTGTAATAATGCAAATGGTTAAAAGCTGATTCGGGTCATTTGTGGACCTTTTTTTAATGCAACTTATCCATCAGCTGTCAGCGGCTCGTGGAACATACAGTTGTTTGTCATGTTTGTGGCTTTTAACCACCCATCCATACATCCGCTGCTTGTAGCCTGCACAGAGCTCAGAGATGACGGCGTAGGTGGAAGCTTCCCCCCAAGAGCACGCAGGCATCAAGCGTTTAATTAAGAGCTCTGCGTGGCGTTTTACGCCTCGGAGCGGGCGGCTCGCACAAAAAGAGACAAAAAAGGGACAAATCTGCCTTTTTGTGCCGAGTGAAAAGCAAAAAATCCACACCGTCACAAAGGCCGCGGCGTGCCTGTCTGTGATGGGGGCGCCAAGCAGCGGAGACGGAGAGGAAGAGGAGGACAAAAAGAGGAACAAAGCGGCGGGTGTAAAAACCCAGAGCTGCACAACAGGAGATAAATGAACGAAAAGCACAGAGGATAAAAGTCTCAATTAGAGGCGGTGCTGGGAGGATCGTACCTTGAGTGCAATCGCATGCTCCTTTCAGGGCCTTCTCATCCTGAGTGTAATCTGGAAGAGAACAAGCTTTGACTCTCACAATCAAGCATTTGCAAAAAGTCATTGGAAGAGCTTTTTCTCTTCCCCTGTGGTCAGAGACTAATCCTCACCCGCGCTGACCACCGCCATGCTCTGCATGTCTCCGAGGAGCCGGACGACGGCGGGGTCATCACGGGAGTAGAGCGCATAGCGGTTTATTCCCACGTGGAACTTCAGCCAGCTGGCGTCGCGGTCGTAAATCATTTTGTGCTTTGTGACGGTCACGTTGGCCACGGCCGCCGCCTCGCTGTAGAGTTTCATGTGCCTGGGGAACGAGACACAGAACAGAAGCCCAGCTCAATGCAAAGATCCCCCGAGTCTCCAATTAGATGTGGGAGAAGGTAATTTACAGTGAGATGTACACCACACGTTTTCTCTGCGGCGTAGTTTACGAGGCAGCAAACTGATACATCGATCTGGAGGTGTATTTACAGCTGAGTCTGTACAGGCCCTAGCGGAAAACCAGGTCAAACTGGTTTTTGAGGATGCTTTGATGAGGAAACAATTTCCAAGCAAAGCTTTGAGTGGACGCAGAGGAGTGCTGGTTATGCTGGGTTACTGCTGGTCAGGGTGCAGGTGTTCACGGCTCCCCGCGGAGAACTCGGCAGAGCCAGCAGCAGAAAATGAAGACACGGGTTAAGCTAATAGCTACTCAGGAGGGGAATTTTTATCGTCGAACCCAGGTCCAATCAAACCGGTTAATTGCCCATTTGAAATAGATGTTGTGCTGCCTCCATTCTATCCCGTTGACTTTGTCACTGTAGTTGCTAATCGGACACATTCTGATCATCAGAAGTCGGGGAGGGCATCAGATTTGTTGGACAACTTACTGTTTTTAAGAAATAGCAACCTGTTGTCTTTTAGATTGATTTTCTACCATCTAGTCAATGGTATTTTGAGGAATTAAGCGGCAGGAACTATGAGCTCATTGGAAGTGTAAAGAGAGATATGGTCTTATAAGGGTAATAAAGCAGTTACAAAGAAAAATGCTTCATCAGGTAAAACTGATGCAGCATAAGAATGAACGTATATATGATGTTAATTGCGAATTTCCGAGTTCTTTTAGATAGTGGAATTGCTCGTGCCTCCTGTCTGTAAGCCCTCCCATAGAATTTATTCCCCGAATTTCATAAATAAGATCAGTCTGACTGGAAAAAGTCCTTCAGCTAACAAAGAAACATTAGAGAAAAGAGCAAAAAAACAAAAACGAAAAAAAAGAAGTGCCTTTTAGGATGCTTTTCTATACTTAGCACACTTAAAGCCTTTTATTGACTGCACTACTCAGACTATTTTACGACTTGTTTTATCGCCCACTTTACAGATGCTATTCCATTTAAGGTCTCTGGATTGCTTTTGAAGACAAAAAAAACGAGTTGTAATAAATTTGACATTTTTTCGGTCTGTTTTCGAGTCTTCTGGCGTTTGAGCAACAGGCAGGAGCCATCGGACGCCAAGCAGCAAAGAAAGTCTGCGGCAAATGTGGCAGCTCACGGTCAAAGCTGACCACACTGAGTGGGACGGTCAAACAAACTCCGTGGCGCGCTGGTTAACAAGCTGAGATAATGGAGAGAAAAAAGGGGCTAAAAATAAAAGTTTGTTTGCCAGTCGGTCCAGCGACTGGGGGTTTCTTAGCAACCTAACCTGACCAATCTGGGTAATCAGGGTCCTGTACAAGTGCAGACCGCAGCGTGGGAAACGACAGAGTGGCTTTTGCATTCTCTGCTGAGATGCTGTTGCAACAGTTTGCAAGTGTAAGCCTTTGAGCGATTGTGCGTGTGCATGTTTTAAAGGATGTGGACAGGAGATCCGTCGCTCGTATTTCTTCCTATTTTCCACCATAGGAGCCCAAGCTCTGTATCTCCGAGGGGGAGTGCACTGGGAGAGACAGACGGCCTCTCCGGCCAAGGCGGCTACAGCTCCCAAAAGATTAAGACGGGCTTTAGGAGTTTCTAAACCCCTTGTTTGCCTCAGAGTGTGTTCCAGACACAAGCTGTCAAAATGACATGTTTTGCGAGGGCTTTTATCTAAACCCCGCCTCATCCGACGGCCACTCCGGGGCTGTTTGCTGACGCACTCGCTCTGCACACCCCGATGGTGAGTTTACATCTCTCATCACGGACAAAGTGCAGTTTGTTTACGCGCCGCTTTGTGCCTCCGGGGGGGCTTTGACCGTCGGGTTACTGACCTCATGCCTCCAGACCACAAGCAAGCCTTCGCACGTGCGCTTAGAGTGGTGGAAGACTCCAGCCAAACACAAGCACGCTCTCCTTTTTAACGACCAAACGGCCAAAGCCGGACACCCACCTCTCCCAGCGGGACACCTTCCTCCGGTAGTAGTCCAGCAGCTGCTCCGTCTGCAGCAGCCTCTCCTCCGGCCCCAGCGCCGGCGTCCGGATGTCGTACAGAGGATGAGCGAAGAGCTTCTCCAGCTTCCGGCCTCCGGCGGCCAGCCCGGGCGGTGGCGGTCCACGCGTCCAGTTGGAGAGCTGCGGCGTGGCCAGGCCCTCCAGCGCGGGGAGGCTGAGGTTCCCGGAACCACACGAGCACGAGAGTCCCTGCGTCCGCCTCACGCCCCGCAGCTTGGGCAGGAGGACGAAGTACAGGTCAGCGGAGAAGATAGCCGTGAGGGTGGCGGCCAGGAGGAAACGGTCTCTCCTCATCACGGAAACGGAGCAGGGATAATATCAAGAGGAGGGAAGTAAAAAAAACCCAGGAGAAGTAGTCAAAGCTCCGACTCCGGGGCTGCTCCTCAGGCATCACTTGCCGGTGTCCTCGGGTCTACGGGATTGCTCCAGTGTCTCAGTTCCTCTGTTTCTATCTGGGTTTTTAGTCCGTTCCCTCCAGCCTCACTTTATTCTCCTCCTCCTCCTCCCACTTCTCCTCCTCCTCCTCCTCCCTTCGCAGAAACTAAAGAGAGAGCTGAGCTGAGAGCGAGCATGTGTCAGCAGCAGTCACTGACAGTTTGGCTGCTCTTCCGGGGACCTGCTGCTCTACGAAGGGTGTGTGTGTGTGTGTGTGTTTATGTGTGTGTGCCTTGAGTGCATGGTGGGTGTGTGCTTGCGAGCTTGCGCACAGACATCAAATCACAGGTTGGTAGATCCGAGACGGAGCGTTCAGGGTGAGGAGACACTTGTACGCTCTCGGAGAGTCGAAGAAGAGAAGAAGTGCAGAGAGCAGGAAGAGATGGACACAGGCGCGTCCACTAGTCCCAGCAGGTCTGAGGAAAGCGGGTCCAACTCGCGCCTCGGCTCTGGTGCAAAGCCTTTGTCATCAAACCCAGTTCTCATTATCATTTGAGTGCCTTCCTGTTTTTTTTTTTCTTCTTTTAGAGGGAGCGGGTTACATTTCCTGTCAATCTGGTATGAGCGTCTGCCTCCCCTTAGCATCCCTTCTTTACTCCCCCCAAAAAGAAAGTCTACAGAGAAGATTCCTTCACTCCCGTCATCTTCTCATCTCCTTGTTCCTTCTTCTTCAGTCCACTTTTTTCTTCCCCTGCTCCCCCCCCTGCCCTTCCCCCCCCCCCCCCTTCCCCGCATTAAACCTTCATCCCCTTTGCTCCTCTACCCCCCTCTCCCTCTCTCTTCTCCCTTCTTCTTTTCTTTTTTTCCTTTTGCCTCGCTTACTTTTTTTCACCACAGTCCTCCGGTCGGTCTCGCTCCAGGCAAAAAATTCCCAGCTGCGCTTCCCTTCCTGCTGCAGTTTCCCACACAGGAATCCCCTGGCCCTTTCCCCCTGTCACGCTGATCTGGAGACGGGCGGCAAAAGGCAAAGCCGCTCTTGCACAACTTTGAGCGAGACAAACCTTGCCAAAAATAACACTCCCCCTGCGTTTGTCTGGCTACTTCCTCACTGCGTTCTTACCTTGATACTTGTGAAAACATAGGCCGCTTCAAATGTGACCGTTCCCCACTGTCGCCCGCGTCTTCTTTAAAAAATCTCGCCAGCTCTATGGGGAAGCAGGGAGCATTTCATGGGCTGCATCTGTGTTGTTGTTATTGTGGTATTTCGGAACATCTGTCGTCTGCTTGTTTGTGTGTGAGTGTTTCTCTGTGTGTGTGTGTGTGTGTGTGTGTGTGTGTGTGCAGCTCTGGCAGCATTACGTGTCAATGGGAGTAGCTCTCCGGGGTGTTTTACTCTTTTTAAAGAGAAGGCGGGCTGACTGAAGCTGTTGTTGATGATGGAAATTAGTGAAAGGAATCTTCAACCTGCCATTTATCGCAAAGCTTCTGATGTGCCTCCACACCCTCAGGCAAAGTGGGAGTCCACCATCTTCACGCTTTCTTCCCCATTTTATTCTTTTTTTTAAAGAACACAATGACAAAAACATACTGTTGTCTCGAAATGAACTTTTTAAAGCATGCGTTTGGAGCCAACTGGACCACATTTTCCACATCTATCGACTCTCCATTTAACATCCCCACAGGTTGCACAGACCCTTCAGAATACATTAGAAAATAGATCAGCTAATCCAGAGCTCAAAGTGTGACTCACATGACTGATAGTTTTGATAACGCAAAGTATTTAATGGGAATTAGCAATGCTCTGGTGGCTTAATAATCCTTTAGGGGGTAGAAATGCGTCAAGATGGCTCACTGTTCCAGCTGTGCCTGTTTGTATTTACCCCTGAGAAACAACATGAATGAACAACTCCAAGCCTCCCATTCAAACATCCAAACAAGCGTCGAGAATAACCCAATTTTTTTTTGTTGTAAGAAAGTTACAAACTCAACTATGTAAAAAAAAAAAAAAACACCAGAAGTACAAAAGTAGGGCACTGAAGCCTGGATCTGCGGTTCCTGCAGCTTGGCAGAGCTGTGGTGATAAATACAGGCTGGCTTTTGTTTAGATGAAACGGGGAGAATGGCTCCAATGCCTGTCTGTCACATGTTTCATGTCAGGGAGTATCAAATATTCTTCTAACAATGGAAATTTTACAAATCAGATGATAGCTTCAATTTATTTCACAGCAGTCTTTTTTTTTTCCCTAACATTTTGGGAAATGAACACATCTCTAGAGACACAAGAAGTGTGTCTCTAGAAAATCTTCTTTTTTGTTATGGAGGGATTCACCAGAGATGGGAAAATGGAAACATTTATCTGTTAGACATTTGCTGAGAGAAAGCAGCTTTGCTGAAAGGAAGCACTTTATAGAACCGGTAAAGTATACTAAATATGGAGAAAGGACGACTGGTATGTATAAAATCTACGTGACAAGAACACATATCTAACACGACATTTTTCAACGACTAATTATGTAACGTAATATGTGGTGAAAAGAAGTTTTTCCAGGGACAGACCAGCTGACTGCAAGTGCTGTCAGGCTGTATTTACATCACTGGTGTCTTTAAGAATTCGCTTCATCTGTTTTTTTTCTTGATTTTACATTTTTAACTGACGTCAACGAAAATTCTTTGAGACAACACACATGAGATTTTCCTTTTGGGTTTATTTCACCGTGTTTATGTGAACGGATAGTATAGCTCTCACACCAAACACTGCAAATTCACCTTATGTCCCCATTTTTAATGCCCAAAGTCATCGTGATATCTGAGATTTTACCTCATGAAAACATCAGCATCCAAAACAGTGGTGAATAAACTTTTCAAAATCTACAAAAGACAGAAAGATAGGATTTTATTAGCTGAAGTCACAGTAAAATACTAATATGTTTAGTCAATTTCATACTTTCAGTGTCTTTGGCAGTGTCCATTATCCCGTTTAACCTCATAAAAACAACAAAACTTAGAAAAATACAGTGTAATTTCTAATAATTTCAGTCCTGCTCTAAGTCACAGAGAAAACTGTTTGTTACAGACCCATGAATTCTTTTTTAACATCACAGTTATTAGAGGTGCTAAAGAGTCAAGCGTTGAAATAAATGAGAGAAGCTTTACTGTGCCTCTAAAAAAATTTTTTTGCAGAGCCAAACTAACCATAAATCCATAATCCCAGTCTTAACTCTAAGATAAATGAGGAAGTATCAGAGCAGCTCCCAAAAGGTCACGACTATCAGTAAAAGAAGAACAAATCCTCCCAAAGAAGAATCAATATTCAAAGATGACAGGAAGAAGAAAAAAATTGGTAGAAAATATGCTTTGCACACTATATAACATTCTGATGCAGGGGGAGATCTAACTAATATGGAATTGTTATCATACCTGTAGACATTTTCAATCTACAGTTTTGGGCTGACTTTAGAAAAAAATAAAATGCAAAGCAACAAAGTTCACAGGGGAATCTTTCTCAACATCCAAGTAGATATTTTCCTTCCACATGCTTTGTGCTGCCAAACATGATTGTGATACCACACCCAACGGACTCTGAATAGATCTTCCTGGAGAAGGAGAAGAATTTTCTGAATTTTCTAAAGGCAGAGGATGTAAGAAATAAATAGACTTTTGAGAAATAGGGGAAAGCTTTTTTATCCATTGTGAGCTCCAAGTTCTCTGTCCACATGAGCTGGCAGCCTCAGGAAAGGGCCGGTCCACAACGGCACGCTGACAGTAAACACAGATTCTAAAAGGGGTTGAGAGGAAAGAGGGAAACAGAGGGTGAGGCAACACACAGAGATCTGCCGAGGTGAAGGCAGAACATGAAATTAGGGAATCGGTTCAGACATGCATGCATAAATAAACAGATTTTCTCATCAGATTAATCTTGAATGGGATGGCAGTGTTTGTCTCTTTGTTCCTCTCTCATTATCCCTTCCCATTCATCACGTTTTTTGGCCACAGCTACAATTCTGAAACTGAGTGGAGCTGCTCCATTGCATTTTTTCAGGACCCACATGAAGGTCACTTCACGTGAGCTGATACTAGCTAGCAGGCATTTTTACGGTGGCAATAATTATATAATTAGATGAGTAATCCAGGTCACTTCAGCCAAAAAAAAAAACGTTTTCCTTATAAAAACACATCAGTAACCACATCACAATACTTAGATAACAGTTCCAATAAAAATGGTGACATAATGTTGCTTTGAAGCTCATGAAATGAAAGTTTAGCAGACGAACAATTAAATATTCAGTACGCAACTGTTTCTATTTACGGTCTTCCCACATTATTCTCCAAGAAAAAAACACTAGACAACATTTGTAGGGTATAAACAACATTTCAACATCCCACCGCTAGACATTTAAACAGGATCCAAATCCAAGCTTTGGTTTGGCTGCTCAAACCCTCCGTCTCTCCTTTCGGAGCTGCTCTTTCCTGGTATGTTAGTGCATCATCAGTTATCAGTACCATTCTTTCAAATGTTCACTTTCCGCTCAGTTGAAGCTTTCGAAAGACATCCCTTTGTTCGGATGGGGGAAATGATAAGACTGGGTTGGGACTACGTGGAAGAGTCCACATCTTTGCCAGTATTTTCACCAGCAACACCTGCCCTCCACCTCGGTGCATTTCAATGAACTGTCACTTGCATCCAGTTTCAACACATTACATCACATCGCATGCCTCTCATGCCGGTTATGAAATTGGTAAAGTCTTGAATTCTTTCTGACTTTAAATGCATTGACTCTGATGCCAGCAGCCGCAAGAGTTATCAAAACAAGAGGTTCCTGTAGATTTATTTTAGCATCAAACATCTGCTCCTGGACAGATTTCTTTTAATATCTTGGACAAACTGGATGCTGTAGGTAAAGCTACACTTTTTGGAACAAATGTTTGCAACCTGATAACTGATTTGCTATAAATTGGATGTCTTCTCAGATTTGGGGACAGACCCATTAAAAAAAGTTTAACCTGACCAGATACAAGAGGTCAGAGGCCAGAGAAGTCTACAAACAATAATGCTGACGATTAACATTATCCAAACAGTACACTGTCCCAACTGGGGTATGTACATAAATTGCAGATAGAATATTGAATTCAAATCATAAAGAGTTCATAATCTCTGTCTGATCATGCTGTTTCAGTGTTTGGGCTCCCACTGAGCCTGAACTATATCCATCTTACTCTAAACACTAAACACTGGATTACTGACGATCTCCCTCAACCAAAAACTTCATGACTTCCTTTTTGCATTCCTGTAGTGGACTACGTTGGAGCTGGTGCTGCTAAAGCGATCCCATTTAAAGAAACAAGCCTAAGACTAACCTACAGCTTTCTTAACAGAAAAAAAAGCAACCCCAAATTCTCTTTTTATGAGCAGGCCAGAGAGCGCCAAAGCCTGGAGCATGTGTGTGTGTCTGGTGAAGCTATGAAAGATGTGGTTGGGTGTAACAAAACAAGTTACAGGGATGTGGTGTTGAGCTAAATGTGGGAGCACATGCAGTGTTCATGTCTGTTTCATGAATTAACTCATATTTCAGGACTATTAGTCGTGATTGTGTAATTAGTTAAAGATTTTAATGTAATTTTTTTTAACCTTTTATCCACTTTGTACCGAAATTGCTAATAATTTACTCTTCTAATAAGAGTCATGCGACTCTGTTCAGTCTTTATAAAAACCTATCCTGTGAGGGTTATTACAAAATATCAACATTTCTTCCAATTTAAATGAGTACATCTGGACCACATTTGCATGGTTCTGGATACATAATATGCTTTGGATGAAAATTGGGTGTTTATAAAGCGAACAGGAGATTAACAAAATAAGAGGATCCACCAGTGAGTGTGAGGTTTACCTGTGGAACCTGCAGAGTGATGAGGAGACAAACACAGCCGTTCAGATGAGATCTCTATGGCTGATGCGGTTTAGGTGCCTCACATAATGTGTTGCTTCAGTCTGGCCAGAGTCCTCACATGGATACTGATACACAGGGATAACCGAGGTTATATCGACAAATATTGGTGGCCAGACTGATCAGCAGCTGATTTGGTGCTTGTGAGTTACCATGGGCTGCTGAGGTTGTTCATGATCAGTCTCTGATGGAGAGGTTGAAGCTGATGGGAATAAAAATAAAATAAAAGGTCAAATGAACGAGCATATGCATACGTATGTCTGCCTTAGTATGGTCACAGGACGGTTAAGTAAAGGAAGTGGCGCTAGTAACAGCTTGTTCTGGCAAGATGGGGATTCAAAAGCTGAGTGAAAGGAGAATGTTGGAAATGTCTTACAGACTCTCTCAGAAAACCCTTTCGGTATCTGTTCACTTTCCAAAAAACCTGACCTATGCATCTGAGGCAGAACATTGCCCAGATGTTCCAAGGCTCTGATCCAAACTCCAGAGGAGAAAAATGCCTGGAATTTTCAAACAGTCCGTTTCACGTAAAAGGTGAAATTGGTGTCGGGCTGCATAGGAATATCAAGTTTGATTGGTTTGGATGGCGAACAGGACCTGTAGCGTTTAACCATGTTTTGAAAGAATTCCCTCCACGGCAGCAGCAGCTACTCACACCCATGTACAAGTGCAAAGGGATTCTGAAGAAAGCCAGAATTGCTGGAAGGGAGATTTCTTGATAAGCGTCCGTGTGACGCACAGCGGCTGGTGTCAGGGTGTGTGTTCACTTAATGAAATCGACAGAGTGGTTACCTTCTGAACGACATTCCTGCTGGGAATCCTGACCCTGGTTCATGGTTAGGTCAGATACCTGACTCACTTTGTCCTCGGTTTTCACGTCCATTCTCCTCCTTCTCATCATCTCTCAGGTTGCTCTGCTTTTGCCTGAAGGCAACAAAAAGTAAAAGGGCGGCAATCTTTGAAGTAGAACCGTGCAACAGGTTTCCACACCTCTGCTCACGTTAAATCCCCTGAAACTACACAAGTCGGAGGTTAGTGATCTGTGCTTTGGGATGTTTTGTGCCATTTTCTCATATCTGTGTAAATATACAGTGGTTTGATTTAAAACCCAGCAATGAAAACTTTACATTGCAGTCTTGAGTTTTCAAACAAATCTCGAGCTCTGAATAACAGACAGACAAAAAAAGTATCTTTTATGAAACATCAGTCACAATACAACCAATTTCAGTATGATGCCAATATTTCTCCACCACTGCCTTACTAACTGGTAGAAATTGTGCTCCACATTGGGCTCCTTTTATATTAACTGCACTTTCTCACCCTGTTAAGTGAGCCGCTCCTGACAGTTTTCTTTCTACATGTGACAGAAATGACATCAGGCAGACAGTAAAGACCTGGGCCAAGCCAAAGATTTATGACATTAAACCAGATTGAGGCTGCTATGAAAGGCTCAATTGTTTGTGGAGGAATGAAGCTTTTTTTTCTTACTCTCATCTTTCCATCATTCAGGGACACATAAGCAGTGCTCTTTGTCCATATCATATCATTATGCTTATCATTGGTTTGTACTTGACTGGAAATTACTTGCATAAATAATTCGAATGACCTGTTAATTGACAAGCTAAAAATGAAATAGAATGTATAATCTGCTACCACTTAAAGGGATCCAACAAAAAAGAGATTTTGCTCCAGGAATCCAACCATGATTTTAAAATGCATGCCTTCCTAAAAGCCAAACGGTGTGCTGATATCATTATCTGTGGAGGTCTTAAAGCTTTAAGATTTGCAACAACGGGAACCAGACAGCTTTTCTTTCACCTGCCGTAAGTAGCCGGATCAGTGATGCTCCACACCATCTCCTGTCCAAAATAGCCCACGTGATGGCCCTCCTCTGTCCACAGCCCAGCTGCGCCGTCGGCCGATGCCGTGAGGACAAACAGTCTCTCGGCTTCCTCCAGGAGCTCTACGCACACCAGCGGCCGGGCGTGAGCCCTCCAACGCCGCAGCAGGGGAGGCCGCTCGCAGGCCGACTGCACGGAAACAGAAGGCATCACGCGAGGTAGTACGCGGTGCGGCTTTGTTTCGGTTTGCTCCCGTCTCACCTCGCGTTGGACGCTCAGAGCAAAAGAAGAAATGTCCCACATGTGAAGGCAGCCCAGTGTGTCCCCTGAGACCAGGATGCTGTTCTTGGTCTGGTCAGAGCAGAGGGTCAGCACTCGCTGGCCCGGCTGCTCGGGAGCATAGAAACGAGCTGCAACGGAAGGAGAAAATCAACCAATCGAGTTCATCCAGTTGTTAAAGCCCGCTGTGAGGTAAAGTACAAGTAGAAGAAGTTTTGCATGTGAAAACCTTTGTGTAAAGGGATGCACGGTGGGAATTTGTGCTGAATTGAAAATTCCTGACACAGCTATAGTCTTACATGTCACCTGTCTTGATGTTATGTCATGACCTGGAATTCCATTCGTCTTGTAAAAATACACAGACCCATATAGACTCACGGCACTGCAGTGGTTCACTTACACATGCATAAACACACCCATGCAGGCTCGTACACATATGCAGCGGTCGCAGAGCTCCAATCCCACACCACTAAACACAGACGGGATCTGGAAAAAGACATAGCTGCGGCCTGCCAAGAATGGTACCGGCGGGAAGCCAAGTCGACGGTTCAGCCGAACGGCTCGAGCTTGTGCTGCATGTTAATCCATCTCGCAGGGGCAGGATCATTAAAACTGACAGCTGCTTGTCGACACGTTTTACGGCGAGCTTTAGAAAAACTCAAACAAACCTTCGCGGGCCCACCAGTTTCCTTCTCAAAAGAACTAATGTGGAGCCTCAGGCTCACCGTGAGCGCGCTGCTCTCCGGTGATGCTCCAGAAGCTCAGGCGGCCGGCCTGCGACGACACCAGGACACTCCTGACTCTCAGCTTTCTGCTCGCAGCCCGATGGTGAAGGAACAAGAGCTCGTCCACAGGGAGCGCTGATCTGCAAGAGCAAAAACAAACAAACAAACAAAAAACAAAACAACCTTTGAATGGATTTGTTCTCACTCTGAGAGGTCTAAAGTTTCAGTCCCCTTGATAAAACAGGAAACCGCTACTGCTATGTACAAAAACATGCTCCATATCAGCATTGTATGTCTTAAAACTGGTGGTTCGCTTGGATGCTCAGATGTATTGATACTAATATTAGCTATCCCAGGCTCCTCTTTCTGTTCAAACTTAAAAACTGGATGGATGACTTGACAGTGCTTACTCCATTAGGGATAATGAACTGACGTTCAAAGATATTTGACTATTTCACAGTTTCAGAGTTTTTCTTAATTTTGTCTGGTTTCCTTCCCCGGCGTTCATGCCTCACCCTTAACACCAGTAGTCCCAGGAAATTCACCCTGTCAGCCCCTTTAATCCAGACATACCAGCAAACCCGAAGGCATAGCTCCTCATAAGAAAAATAAATAATAAGGTATCCTTTACATGTCTGTTTCATGTTAATATTTATAGATTAAATCTGTTCAGAACACATTTGCGCCTGAAAAACAGCAATGCTTGCAGATGATTCAAAGTTGAGAGGACTCCCCTTACCCTTCTTGCGCCTCCCTCTGTAGGCTGAGTGATGGCCCCTGCGTCTCCAGCCTCCAGATGACTACCTCTCCGTCATAACTTGCTGTGGCAACAACCCCCAAAGAAGTGCACTGACGCACAGCCATGATATCCGACTTGTGAACACCTTTAGACTTCCAGGACAGGTCTGCCCTCACTTTCAGGTCCTACATGCACAGCAAATACATATAGGCACATTTAGGTTAGAATGTTTTGATTGTGCAAGTTAATCAAACATTTTACTTGATGAAATGAAGGTCAATTCAAGTATTATGAAAGACTTCAAGCTGACAGTTTACACGTGGTGTGAAAAACAGGGCATTGTTCATGTCGCCCTGTGCAAAGATGCCTCATTTCCTTGTCTGGTTTTGTTTACACCTCCGGGCTCTCAAATTATGGCGAGTCCTTTTATGATGGACCATCTGGAAGCTCAGCAGGAGGATGTTGATATACCGTTGCAAAAGTCTTTGATCTCAGCAGGTACATGTGCAAATCTGTAATTAAATCCATGTGTTTTTATCTGGTTGTTCCCCTATTTGTTGGGTGGGGTGAGGGGGATTGGAGGAGAAACCCGGCTGAGCCTTAAAAAACAAACAGACCTTAGAATGTGATGGAGAAGCACAAAATACTGAATGTTACTGTCGTCTTTAAGGATTTAATCCAGCTATGGAGCAGATTGTGGTTAGAGCTTGGATACAACATAAGAACATGAGAATCTGAGCTGTAAAAATACAGACAGCGGTCCCAGACTTTTATATAATCACATCAGCATTTTCTAACAATAACAAACATGTGCTTGTGTTCATGCACTGAAAAGTCTACAGTTTTCTCAAGTACACCATTAAAGCATTAAGTCTGATTTAAAGTTGCAAATTGATTGGGTATAATGAGATGCGTTTTGTAACTGTCAGAGTAAACATATTCTCATGATGCCAAAGTAGCATTCTTGAAGAGAACAGTCTATTTCAGGTCTGTATTAGTATTAGTCCATGTGGGGACAGATATTTTGTTAGTGACTCATCATCCCAACTTCAAATTTTAGAGAATTAAATCTGTTAAGAGTTTTGGTAGGAGAATATTTTTATGCCATCTGGATGAGGTATATTTTGCAGGTTCTTGAGTGCTGCTTGGCACAAACTATAACTATGAATTTATATTCTTAGAATATAAAGAAACCAGTGTTGTGTTTGACTTTTTCCCTTGTTCATTTATGGACCAGTTGGAAGCAGCTAGTGTTATCATGCTTATTCTTTTCTCTGGCTTCAAGGTACATTGTCTGATGATCTGTTTTGACATACTCTGTGCACAATCAGTGGATAACAAAAAAATGAGCATATGATGTAATGTTTCAGTTTAAATTGCATATTCAAAGCCAGGATAGAGTGTATCTGTTCCAATGTGGTGGCACTGATGGGCTTGACACCCTGATCAAAATGATGCATGATGAAAAGAAAGACCAGGTCAAATTTAGATTAAACCAGAAAAAAAAGAAAAATCTCCCTGAAAATCCTTTGTATGTTAACTTTTTGGTCTCTTTTCATCACGCTGCACCAATAAGTAGTTATAGTACCAGTGACACAACTTCTCAGTGTGTAACAGAGGACTATCTGTTAATTATTTCTAGTCTGTGATGCCGAAACGCCATTTAAAAAAGGGCAAACAATGGATTTTACCTTGGCTCCCGCAATGTTGTACTGAATAACCCTCTGGCTCCAACCAACGGCTAGCAGCTGGTTGTCATGGAGACACGTCAGGCCGGTGACCTCCGAACAGGTGACAGGCTCCAACTTGTGCAAATTGAGGCCATTCAGTAAATTCCACACCTGTTTAAAAACGGCAATTACAAAGACCCTCTGATTAATGCGGTTTCTTGACATGAGTTCACAACATTAGCGTAGATAATGGCACTACTGTGGCGTTAAACCTTGATTGTGCCATTTTGAGCTCCAGTAATTAGTCTTCTTTGAGAAGAGTCGAATTCCATGCAGGTGATTCCCTCTTTCCCATGAGCGTTTAAAATCTGAAGACGCTTCCTCCCTGTCTTTACATCCCACAGAGACACGGACGAGTCCACGTGCCCAGTCACCACCTGGAGCAGGGTGGGGTTGTAGAGGGCACAGGACAACAGGGATGGCTGGCTTCCACTCTCTGTCCCAAATGTGCTTCCTTCGTCTGTTAACCAACAACCCTCCGGTCTTTTTGCCTCAGCCAGCTCGAGGCACGCCAGGTAGTCTTTGCATCCAACTATCAAATGAGGCCACGTGTCCTCGGGAAGAGGGGGGCTCAGCAGCAGGAAGGGAAAGTTGCCATGCTCCTGGATGCGACCTGCTACCAAGCAGGGAAAGTGGAGGCGGACAGTTTTCAGTAAGAGGTGAGTGGAAATGTCCCAAACCCTCAGTTCCTGAAAAGAGATAATACAGAAACTCAACTCAAGTTTGGTCAATCAAATGAACCAAAAACATTACATTATAGTTGATAATGAACAATAAGTAGCAAAAATCAATTGGAATGTTCTGACTCTGTTGTACCAACGCTCACACAGTCTCTGGAGTAGCTGAAGATCTGCCCGACCGGTTGGTAGATTCCAACATCTATAACAGTAGCATGGTGACCCCGAAGTGTAGCCACAGGACTGGTGGTCACGTATCGTGTCCACAGCCTGACTATTTGGTCACGGCCTCCTGTGACCAACAACTGCAGAGCAGAATTGTAGTCAAAGCATTTAGCTCCCTGAAATTAGACAGGAAAAAACAAAATAAAGAAAAGGCACATCAGTAAGAGTTGAATGTGTTTTTGTGTTGCAAAACAGCATTAGGAGCCAGCTCAGCCAGTCCCACTGATTTCACAGGGGGATTTTTTTTTCTCTTTTGGGTGGCAACAGTTTAAAAATGTCCAGACAGTTTAATGGGTCATAAACTCAGAATGCTCGTTTTTTAAAAGCCCACACCCACTTTATAATGTTTTTGTGCATTGGCTTTACAGTAGTTTTGCAGTGACCCCATTTGCCACAACAAGCCGAGAGAAGCTGATCCTGAATAGTTACTGGTGTGATTTACCTTGCTTTTCTAGATAAAACTGGGGAGTTAAGCAATATCGCATCAACACAGAAGCTCAATAAAGAGATTATTTTTCAAAGTCCAGCCTGCCGTTTCAGGTCAGTGTGGCCTGAGTGACACTGACCTGAATCGACTCTCCTACAAATATCAGTAGCTCGCAACGTCAGCACTCAAAACATGTAAATGTTTACACACAGCCTGATATTTATGAGATATAAATGAATGGCCACAGTTTATAGAACTTTGATTATTCAAACAGAGCAAAACAGGCTGTATAATTGCAAATATATCCACATATATACATATATGTATATACATTTAATATAAATTCCTTCTGGGATAAATGAATGGATTATATTTAATTGAATTGAATTTCTAACTTTATAGAAGGACACAGCGTGTTGTAAAATAGAAATGCAGATTTTTGGGTAAGTTACCTGCTTAAATTTCCAAATGTAGGGCCCTTGCTTCTGTGACACACTGATAAAGACCACAGACGTGGTGTCAGTCTCTGATGAAGTCATGATGACATTACCACAGGGTTCAAACATCACTCTGTTGATGGGCTCCGGGTGGATTTTGGGGATGTGACGGTACGAAACCATGTTGCTATGCTCACGAAAGTCCTACCCAGAACATGAAGAAAAACATATTCACTTTGTGTTTGTGGAAAAGGAGCCTAGTCAGCATCTTTATCGCCAACCTTCTTTCTGCGCTCCTTGTGCACATTCATTTCAACAGTTATTGTACGTGACGATAACAGATCAAACCTACAGGGAAAAAGATTCTTTGTGGTTCGCTGTTGGTCTTGGATGGGTTCTTAAAAAGCCCTTTCATCGGATTCAGAAACCACATTAGGTGGACTCCTCCTTTTTCGTCTCCCAGGAGCAGCAGTGGTGGTTGCTCTGGGCTCTTGGAAAAAAAAACAAGATGAATTTTATTGCTTCCTCCGACAATTGATGCAGATGATATAACTGGAGTAAACAACAGTTCTACCTGTCTATCATGCCAGTAACAAAGAGCTGTTGGGACACAATGAAACCCTAGGAGACAAAGAGGAAATAATTTAGATACACTGACTTATTTTAATTTATAATAAACTGAGTGTAGGACTATTAAGTAAGTACCAAACAGATGGATATCCTCAAATACACTGGTTTGATTGACATTGATAAAGTGTAGCTCCCTGCAGTCAGTTGCTATGGCAACCCTGTGTACTGTGTCCATATACACAGCATCAGTGGTCCAGCCCCTGAACCTCCGCGTGTTGGCCACTTCCTCTGTTGGATCTCCAGCTAGCTGGTTGAATTAGGAAAGTGTGAGTTTGTTGAGATGCTTTTGGCTTTTTTTTTTTGCAAAACTAGTAACATAACGTCACTCACCACAAAGTTTTTCAGGATGCGTAGGCTGCTGCTCCAGACAGTGATCTGACCACCCTTACTAACACTAATGTAGCGGAGTGGAGGTGGATGGGAAACAGCTACTACACGAACTGTCGGCTCCCGCTGCACAAACGACAAACAGGGAAAGATGTTCTTTTAACAGTATGCGATTTAAAAGAAATATATATATACAACTTACTGAAAAAAGGACGTTTATGGTTAAATTCTTGGATAATGTAGCACGATCTTTGAAGAAATCGGTGTCAAGTTGACTGATCTTTCCTCTACGAGATACTAAAGATGCATAATCTTTGGTAGGACCAGAGCTGAAACATGATAAACCCTTTTGATTAGAGTATTACACTGTTATGATTCCTAGTAGCACATAAAAATATCAGACAGGCAAGAGAGTCCTTTCCCATGCCCTGAGCCCCGATGAACTCAGGACTGACAGAGCACAATGGATAGCTGAGTTTCATGTTTCTTAATTTTGTGTTACTGAGAGGCTTGAATTACTTATATTAGTCACACCTGTTCCTTTTATATGGCCACTAAAAGATTGCTTTGTCCTATCACACACTCACACACATACATACACACACACACGTAGTACAAAGACACCTGAAAACTTTCCCCTCTCTCACCACAGAAAAGCTCTTTAGGCTAAGCTACCAAGCTAACAGACAGTGACCTGGTCACCATGACAACCGGTTCTCCCCCACTGAAATGCTCCAGCAAGCTTGATCGCTGACTGGTACAGGAGGCTCCCAGCTGAAGCCATGTCCCAGACCAACCACCAAATGTTACTCCAATGACAAAAATAAGTAGATATCATTTCTGAACTTTTCGGGTCTTTGCCAGCCCCTGAGACCAGGTTTTTGTTCACCATCTAACTACAGAAGCTATTGATCTGGTCTGTGTTTGGGTCCGCACAGTTTTTTTCAAATTTACTTTTGATCCAGAGCTCTGATGGGATATCTATTTTCCTATGGGGCATCACTTTCGCTAACGTACTGCTTATATTTTGTGTGGAAACCACCGATATTGAAAGTGTGTGAAAAAGAGTGTCTTGTTGTCATTCTAAATTCATTCTGCATTTATTTGAATTTCCTTGCACTGAAAAGATTTTGCGCAAAAGTTGGTCTTTATTGTGGTGGCTGATTTTTTTTGGAGGATTTAGAAAGAGTGGGACTTTATATATATATCTTCAACTCGCAGAAAATTCTGGTGACTTTGCTCCAAACTATGCTATCAACCTCAAATCTAAAAAGTTGTATCAAACCTACTTTACACTTTTCTTTTGATTGATCATCTTACTGAATATTCTCCTTGAACTTACTTTTGAACCGCAATGGTTCATCTGAAAAAATGTTTCAGTCAAAACAACAGCAGACAATTTCATTTCACAAAAGCATTTACCCTGTTGTGAGAGCAGTGTTTGAACTGAGGCTGGGCATCCAGCAGGGCCGCTATGGGAACGGAGGCCCGCTGTGTCTCAGTGTACTCCAGAAGCAGGTAGGAACACAGTTGCCGCCAATTTACCTCTCCTGTACAGCTGATGTCTACCTGCATGTGGACACAGAGTCACAGAAACACCAATTGTCTCTATTTTGATGCCACAGCGAGTTTATTACAGGACAAAACTACCACGATATTAACTGGTCTTTGTCATAGAGTTGTCACTGTAAACCCATTAGCAATCAAGGTAAAGTTCCATACCTCACTGAAGGATCTCTGGATCCACGAGTCCTCAACACCTGGACCAATCACAGACTTCAGTAACTCCCGAAATTCTTGAAGCGTTCTTCCAGGCTCTTCGCCTCGATTTTCATGCCTTCCCTTCAGCCTCTGCGGCTGAGTCTGAAGTTCAGCGGTGGGGCCGCTGAATGCATTTCTCAGGATGTGCAGGTGCTCTGGGCTTAGCTTCTCTGCTAGACTGGCACCACAAGCTGCATCACTAACATGACAGCAGCAAAACATTGATGAAGAAATGTTTTTTCATTCAGCAGAAATTACTTCTACAGTGTAGACATCCCCCGTTATTCTGATTAGCTTGATCTAGCAGCAGAACCTTCTCTGTCAGCACCTATTGATAAAACAAGTATACATCTGGACTAAAACATGCAGGACTCAATATTCCTTTTCAAATCGGATTTAAGCATAAGTACTGATCAGCTATAATTTAGTATCTAAGGCTAAGCAATACTCACTGTAGTTTTATCCTATTTATTAAATGACTGTCCATAGATTGAACACAGCACTCCCATGTGGCTACAAAGCCACAATGCAAGTCAAATCAAAAGTCATTTATGTTTTTTTTTAAACATTTTATTTCAAGGAATAGATAATGAAGGATTAAGAACTGTGTGGGGGATGTGTGTTTTACTGAAAGCGGTCTTTGCCACCAGCAGCTTCTGTGTGGGCCTGTTGCTCAGGGAAACTACAGACATGAACAATGACTCACACGTCTCAGCATTGTGAACTCTTTTCCCAGGTCCTTTGGCACATGCATGAGTGGTCCTTTACACCATTTCTCACAATTAGCCAGAATAACCATAAAGTCATTAAGTAATGTAAATGCACAGCGGTTTGTTGAAAATAGGAGTTTTAAGGGGTTGGTTAGCGTCTCAAGGAGTTTTGGGTAAATGGAGAAAATACAAAAGAAAATGTCAACTTGTCCACTGATTATAAAGATCTAAATCCTTATCAGTGAGCTATGTTTAAAATGACTGCTAAACTGAATATAATTAATTATCTGATAAAACTCACCGAAGCCTGATGTGTGGCACCTCTGTCTCATAAAGCCACCACAGGTTCTTGCTGCTTTTCCTCGTATTCATTCCAGCGACTTGAATTTGTTGTCCCTTTTCCAAGTTCAGGCTTATGCTCCTCAGGTTAGTATCCGAAAAGGCATGGAAGAAAAATGTAGTACCCCATTCCGCTCTGGAGAGTTGAAGCCAGTGTGTGTTCCTCAGTGTGCTTCAGTCCTAGCCCTGCAAAGCTTTTGTTTCCCTCCCATCCTCTGTCTTGTCATGCAAACCTCAAACAAAGCTGCTTGTCTTCAGGCAGAAAAGGAATGTCCACTTACACACATGAAAAAAATGCTATCCATTACCAGTGTTTGACCACACTGAGAAACTAAAGTCAACACCTATAGGAGCTGAAGGTTTCCAAAAATAACTGCAAGTCTGTTGGGGGTAAAAAATCCACAGACAAAACCTCAGCAGGTTAATCATTTAAAGAAACCCAGTTAGTCAGAAGCCTATGTACCTATAATAAAACCAAATACAAGTGGTAGTCAAACTGGTCTCACATAAAACGTGCTATACAAACATACTTAAATAAGGCAGAACTTTAAAAAAGCAACACGTACAAATATTTTGATAGATTCTCTTGAGGACTCTGTTCTCTGCCTTCTGTGGATAAGGCATTTCAAAGCAAAGCATTGTTTTTAACTTAAAATGAAAAATAGGCAGTGAGGTGCAGCCTATTTTTCTTTTCTAATGCCAGTGATTGTCAAAATACATTCAATATTGATAAAAATATTGACAAAAAACAACCCAACATTCCAATAAAAAATCCACCTTTTTTCCCTTTTTTTGTTTGATTGAAACATTTTTGTTCTTGACCTTTGAAAAACTGAAACCAACTATGTGGAAGCTTTGCTTCACCTAATGCAAAAAAATTGACTTTTAGTCACAAGTACTGAAATTGAAATCCCTTGCTGGTTGAGAGTTAGCTTTTTTTTATACCAAAAGCAAAAGCTAGTACTATGTGTCGATTTATAAAATGGGTAGCTCATCTGTAACCGTAATATGGATACGTTTTTGGTTGGCTTTTTATTTTTCATCCGTTAGTTATTTTTTAAAAATCGTAGCTTCTTATACATTGACAGCCACAGCCTCTCCTTTAACTTTAATAAGAAGCGCCCCCCAGAATGGCCACTAGATGGAGCCAAATCAACACGCATAATCAACATCTCAACTAGTAGGTGAATCAGTTGACGTTATTCACGTTACATTCAGGTTAAATGTGTCCTCCAATCATTTCGTCCTCCAATAACACGTGAAAATGGTTAATGAGTCAATAAAACATGTTGCGGCACGTGGAGTATTGTTATCTCCGCCATGAGCCGCGCGCGCACCGCAGCTAACGGCTCATAGCTCCGGGTTCTTAATTGGACACCCGTGACCCTCTCCGTCGTCCACTCCCATCTGTCCCCGGTCCTGCCTCGTCTCTTTTCAGCGATGGGGCGGTGAGGATGCCAGAAGCTCGACAAACTTGCGCGTACTTCTTATTTCAGCTCTCAGTTTGCACCAGCTTAACTTTTAATTGTATCTTTTAAATGCCTTTTTGAGACCATGTTGCGAGTTGTGGTTGAGTCGGCGAGGAGTCTCCCTAAAAAGAAACTTGGGAGTCCTGACCCAATAACCTCTGTGATCTTTAAAGGTACGTCCTTTGTACAGTTATCTATTTCCAGCTTTATGTAAAAATAGCTCGTTGTGTATTTGAAATCATTCAGTGATCTTTATGCTCACTTTTGTCACGTCTGGGGGAATGTCTGGTGTCTTGTGTTGATTACCTATTGTGTACACCTGGGGTTCCCCTCCCTCATGTGTTTAAATAGTCCTCGTTTCCCCTTGTCTTGTGCGAGTGAGTTTTCGTCATTTTCGTCTTTCGTCCTTTCGTCGTCTGTCTTTCGTCACCCCCACGTCAGTCCAGGTTTGCTTTTTGCCACAGTCTTGTTATTCTTTATTTTGTTACTTTGCCACAGTCTTGTTTACTTATTGCTGTGATACTTTGCTCACAGTTTTCCACAGCCTTGTTTTGTACCATGTCTGGACTTCCACCTTTTTGTTATAATAAACCATGTTTTCCGTCATTTCCGCACCTGATTCCTCCATCCAGACCCACCCGTCCTGACAACTTTAGTATTATAGTAATTAGACTAGTATAAGTATCAGGTACTACATGATATCAATGGAAGGGCTAAAAAGTGATACAGGGGATGGACAGTTATCAACATGGAAGTGAAAAGTTTGGAATTTAAATCGTCATAACAGTTTTCAGGTATTACCACCAGGCAAATAAATGAAATACAGGAGGAGAGTTGCTGTTTTTGTGTATATGATAAAATGAAAAATACCTGGATATTAACATTCTGACAACAGAGTATTAGAACCCCTTCCAATCAGCCCTAGTTGATTTGATCAGCTTTTTATCTGGTAGTTCCCATTGTCCGCTGATTCCCTCTCACACAATGAGAAGAAAAAAACCAAATCAATCGACAGTGAACTGAATCCCGTGTGGAATGAGGTAATTTATGTTTGACAAACACACAATCTGGGCAAAGGTGACTTTTTCTCTGCTATTCTCTTCATCTAAAGAACGTGGCGCTATGAAGATGCTGTGCTAATAAAAACTAAGTAGAAAATTAAACACTTCATTGTACACTGTTTAGATGATGGCATCATGATTCCTTATCAGTATTCTGAGTTTATTGTGGTGTTTTGTGCTGAATTAAATGGAATATCACAATGATCTGGATATAACGTTTTGTGCGACGTGCCTGGAGTTGATAGCTGGACCATCTTCTCTTTTAGGTGCTTGAATTTGATCTAAAAGGCATCCCACTGGACTCCAGCTCCCACCTAGACGTGATTGTGAAAGACTATGAGACTATTGGGAGAGATAAGTAAGTGCAATGAAGCCTCAGAGCAATGCTCCCTGTTGGCTTTGTGCAACAGAGGGATCACAGTGATAAAGGAGCCTCCCATTTCTGAATCACAATGCAAACATAATCTTGCCTGAACTAAGATGTTCTTGGAAATATGCGAGCAAGGTTTGCCAACAATGACTGCTGGCTATTTCAGTCTGTTAAAGAGACTAGGGATAGGACAGGGAGTCTAAAATACAAAGGTGGCTCCTCCTAAATCATTTCCCCATATCACAGGTTAATCTCTTGGTGCTTATCACACATTATTGTCAACATTGATACACTTGTATACAAAAAATGTAACTTAGATAGTTTGATAGTGACCCAGTGTTTGAGTTATTCAGCTGGGTGTCTCTACCCCCTCACACCCTGCTTGCCATGCTGAGACTTGCTGGGCTGTGTGGGTTGACAGAGTGTGATTGGGTAACTGTGGATGGATGAAATGCTGCCTGTCTTCTATCTCGCTCTGGTTTCTGTGTGACACCATGAGACAAAAAATAGGAAATTCCTGCTCTGATTGCGGAGTAATTGTTGTAATATTCACAGATTGCATAAAGAGTTTGTAAAGGAGAAATGCTGTAATGAAAACAATCTGTTTTTCTTCGTCAGATCATCAAAAATAACTTCCAACTAAAGCCACATGTGGCACCAATCTAGTTCAACCACAGAGACTTGTCTAGTCAACATTGCTAATTACAAGCACCAGAGGCTTGTTGGATGTGAGAGGACTTATCTCATAAAAGTGGTTGTTTTTCATGAAATAAGTTCAAATGTGAAAGATTTTTCATTGCACATGCTTTTCTGAGTAGGGCTTTCCCTTGTGCATAGGGCAGCCATAGACAAGAAGGAGGTGCTTTTTAAATGTGCGTAACTTGCACATGAGACCATTCAAAATGGAGTCAAGTTTTCCACTGGGCTGGTCTGGCTGACACACTCCCCAAAGATTTACACAGCGGTGGTAGAGGAGGACTTCTCTCTCTCTCTCTCTTAAATAGCTTTCCAGCTGCCGTTATGGGCAGTTTCCCGTTATCATGGCAACAAGACAGAGCCAAAATAAAAATAAAAAACACAATGGCTTTGTAATTCAGTTTTCGGGGAAGGAATGTTGTGGGGCAAATATTCAGTATGAGTAGGGGCATAACTTATATGATAAGAATTAAGGCTCAGATTTCAGGCTCTCAGTATTGTGTGTAAAAATGGGCAAAATGTCCTCTCATTTCCTCTCTTCCTGCAGAGAGGAGAAAACCAGGGGCCCACCAAGAATTTGAGACATTGCAGAAAAAAGAATGACTGAATGTTTTTGTGACAGCAGAGTTCAGAATTGGACTCTGACTGTTTTTTAGACAAAGGAAAGAGTGCTTAGATTGTTGAGATATCAGTTTTATCCACGGAACGTAAACCCAAATATACAAAAACTGGGTCTTTGGAGGTTGTAGATATGTTACAGTCTTTAAGAAAAGATTGTGGAAGAAAAGAAAAGTGGACGTCATTAAGGCTGCACTGGGGTGATAAATTAGCCAAAAGTATGAGGGGAGTCATATTAGTAAGAGCAGTTAATGTCTTGAAGAGACTTTGTGTTTATCTTTGCTTATAACAGAAAGACTTTAAGATAGGATAGTGGGAGGAATTCTTGTAGTGTCCATGTAAATATGAGTCACATTGATCAATAATGTGAGATTTCACTGATCCAAACAGCTGTGGGAAAATAAATGAATGTTGCCATAGGGAGGAAGTTCTATACTGAAACCCTGCCAAACATAGTTATGACATCAACATAGACAGCAAAATACTTTTGTGTTTGCTATTTGATTAGTATGGGAAGTCTAAACATTCAGAGACGACGCCTTACTAAGCCGTCAGTAGTCTGTTTTGGCTACCGTCAGTAAAAAAAAAACAACAACTTCTCTTTTCACTGTATCCAACTGGACAGCAACAATTTACCCAGACTGAAAACCACAGAGATACAAAAGTTAGAAAAAATTCCATTAGAATCCTGGGCCTGCACCAGGACTTCTCCTTTCTCAGCATTCAACTAAACGATTAGTTGTTAGAGGATTTTGGCAAAACTGCACGAGGGAAATTACTGTTCAGATTCCATCTTACATATACAAAAGGATTAAAGGACATTTTGACTTTTTTAAGGCTGCATACCATGTTTTTGAGTCACTGGAGTCTCAGGGGAAACCTTTAGACCATATTAGTGCTGGTGTACACACAGTGTTGTTAAACCAATGACTCTCTCATACTAAAAGTTCTCTTTAATATTGGTGTCTTTGTAACCTTTTGTAATACAATGAGTTTTTCTAAGTCTGACTGGAGTTTTGAAATGTCCATGTGCACTACCCTCTTTATATAAAATACTAGATTGAGAAATGCCTTTGACAAACTTTCTTTATTAAATAAATTGTTACGAAAAGTGGGAAATTGCAGGAGAATTTGGGGAACCGGCACATTTTTCGCCAGCCCATTTTAAAATCTGTCACGTATATGTCTAAAAAAGGTGTAACAAGTCTCGCTTTAACATTTTTTTGTGAATGATGGACTCTTTTAGAAGTTAAATCATAATGGTGTCTTCACATATCAGCAGTCAAATGCTAAAGAGTACCATTTGAGCTCTCTAATAATCCTCTAATTTTGTGTGTGCTGCTCGTGTCTGATTTCATATTTGTCTTTGAATAATTGAAGGGCGTTTCAACAATGGTGTCAATGATGATTTTACTTATTAACATTTCAAATAGTAAATGCTTTACTTGGCCACTGAGGCTGAAAACTTGGTGCCAGGCATGAATCACTTTAGTCAGAGAATGACAAAGAGGATCAGGATGTACTGTTGAGCTAATAGTGTTCAGCATCACTGTCAAATGTGAACATCTCTTATAGTTCCTTTCATGTTATTCACAGTTCAAAAGGAATTAATACAGTAGGCAGGGCTTCATTTCATGCCTCTGTGCAGGAAGTCACTGGTGGTATACTGGACAGATTCTACAGATAGGCTGTGTTTTGTTTGTCTGAGCAGGCTGGGTTTGTTAGCTCTGGGAGTCTACCTTCTTTATGAACCTTTGGTGAATGGGACTGTATGTGTGCACACACAGCATCATGGTTTTGCACGGTCCCTCACCTGCCTGCTACTCATTTTTTATTAGAGCTATAGCTTGTGCAGGATCTTATCAACAGATTTATGTATTGTGGAATTAAATGAGCCCATGCCCATGGAATCACAATCTTTATATGAAACCCTGTCAGTGTTTTTTAATGTTTTTGTTTTAATTGGTTTTCAGATTCCTTGGGTCAACCAAAATCCCTTTGAGAGACCTTGCTTCAGGTCAAGTGAGATCTCTGCCATCTAAAAATGTTCCTCTGGTTGATGAAAATGGGCAAACTATTGGTGTAAGGCATCATTATTTCAAAAAGATTTCAGATCAAATGTGAAAAAATGGCTGAATTCTTAGAGGGAAAGAATGAGCATTTTATTAACCAATCATTTATTTCTAGGCAACCATCAACCTTGTGATTGCCTATGATCCCCCAGCCAATGCCTCACCAAACCCAAATGACCCTCATAGTGGAGATTCCACAATGGACGCTGGTTTGTTTATTTCTTAATGATGCAGTACTCTCCAGGATATTCACTGCTCACATTTAATTACAGGCATATTGGATAACTTGTTGTCTTGTTTTTTTAATGTTCAGCTGGTGGAGATGGTGGAGAGGGTGGTGCGACTCTTCCAGATGGGGGCCAGAGTGCCTCTGCAGGAGTCTCCTCACCTAATGCTCAGCGTGCCAATGTTAGCCAGAGATTAAACAGGGCACAGAAGCGTCATAGACTCATAAATAAACCCCAGGACTTCCAGGTTAGTTTGCTCACTTATTACCCCCTTATATATTTTACATGATTCTTTGTCCTAAGGGGTTTATTCGAAAAGTGTATTTTATTTTATGCAGTTATGTTTATAATCTTCATCAGGTTAGAATAGACAGTAATTAAAAACGGCAACAAAGACATCAGAGCCTTGAGGAGCACTTTATAAGATACAATGAAATGCTATTTACAAATTTAATGTACACTGTCTTAGTTTTTACTGATGGGTCTTGTTTTAATCTACAACATATTTTTAACAACAACAAAAATTACTCAGAAGAATCAGAATAAGATGGAATGTGATTCAAGTCATTCTCTCTCACAGTGCTGTGGTGTGTCTTTCAGATCCGAGTTCGCGTCATCGAAGCCCGGCAGTTGTCTGGCAATAACATCAAACCAGTGGTGAAGGTTCATGTATGTGGAGATACTCACAGAACAAGGATCAAGAGGGGAAACAATCCCTTCTTTGATGAGGTAGCAGAACTTTGCTGGCAACCAACTACACACATTTCATGTTTTGTATTTGAATGTTTTGTATCATTATTATTTTATTAATATGATTATTTCAGATTTGAATGATTATCTACATTGCCTTTTTTCAGATGTTCTTCTACAATGTGCACATTCTACCATCAGACCTGTTTGAGCAGAACATCAACTTTCGGGTGAGTGCATATTGATGTCTTTTGTCAATAGAGGTGCATTTAAATGCTACTGTATATAAACTTTGTCTGGCTTCACTGGTCTTTTCAGGTGTATGATTCCTATTCACTGAGAGCTGACAGTCTTATGGGAGAATTCAAGGTACACTGCTTCATGTTATATCCCCCATACGGAATTGTTAACATATTAAAGAAAAGTGTGGTTAATGTTCACATGTCTCTCCTTATCCTCTCATGCAGCTGGATGTCGGTTATGTTTACGATGAGCCAGGTAAGTTCAGTATAGATCTCATATCAGAGTTAATTTCTTTTGCTGATTCACACATTTTCTTTAGGGGGATAATGTGCACCAAAAGAAAGTTTCAAGGAGCCTGATTTTGCTTTATGAGGAACTAAGAAACTGGCTAAAAATTTACAATTGAAAAATGTCACAGCAAATAATTTCAGACTCAGCAGTTTGGCCTATGTTTATGACCCTTGTGATGCTCTCAGATGATCCAATCAGTGTGACACAGACATATCCATTGATTTTGTATGGTAAGCAGGGAGAAGGAGGGATGGATGAACAGTGCCTCTTTTAGAATGAATGCTAATTAGGTGGAACCAGCTCAGCTGGTGGATGCTGAGACTTGTGACTTCTGTTTTTTTATTTCTATTTATCTATTACAAATACTTTTCAATAGTTGCTTCTGACTTGTTTTAAAAAGGTGATTTTGTGTGAAAACTGTAAATGAATATTCTTTGGCAGACCACTGTGTCATGAGGAAGTGGCTGCTGTTAAATGACCCAGATGACTCCAGTTCTGGGGCCAGAGGTTACCTCAAAGTCAGCCTCTTCGTTGTAGGGGCCGGGGACGAGCCTCCGGTATGACTGACAGACCACTGTTTCCAGTTTTAATGCTATACCTTTCAAATAGGCTGGCTTTGTCTCAAGATATTTCTAAGGGGATTTCTTTTCGATTCAATACACTTTAGGTGGAGAAGAGAGAGTCTAATGATGATGAAGACGACATAGAAAGTAACCTGCTGCTTCCAGCTGGGTTGACTTTGCGATGGGTCACCCTCTCACTGAAGGTGTTCAGAGCTGAGGACATTCCCCAGAGTAAGATGGATACTACAAGAAAATTATCCAGTATTTGAAACAGTCTAAATAATAAAAAGCACTAAAATATTGCTGTGTGCAATAAAGAACATAAAAATTGAGTTATTTAAAATCAAATGCTCATTTTCTGATCATGATAATATCGTTATTTTTGAAGTAATATGGCCATTTCCCTTTTTGTGGGTCTTTGCAGTGGATGATGCTTTTGTCCAGACCTTGAAAGGAATTTTTGGAGGAGATGAAAACAAAAAGAATCTCGTGGATCCATTTGTTGAGGCTCGTTTTGCTGGCAAAAAGGTTAAGATAATGATTCCATTTTGGCTGCAGTGCTGAATTAAGAAGATTTTAAACAATAATGTCACCGCACAGAGAAATCTAATGTGGAGTTTTTCTGTCTGTTCAGTTGTGCACTAAGATCATTGAGAAGAATGCAAATCCAGAGTGGAACCAAGTCCTTAACCTTCAAGTCAAGGTAATTTCTTCTAAATGTGCACAGTTATAAGTTACAAGAAAATCCGTTTTGAAAGCTCCTTTGTTCTTCCCTGCTTTTTTCTCATTTCTGTTACAGTTCCCATCCATGTGTGAGCGTATCAAACTGACTGTGTTTGATTGGTAAGTCAGACCGTGTCACAATTTGAATTCCATGTTATCGAAGGCAGATCTGTGAAGTTCTTTGCTCTGTTTAGAATATGTATGACAAAGCCTCTGCAGTATGGTCAGCTGTGTTCTGTGTGTGGGTGTATCATGGTCCGACCACATGAAAATAATGCAGTGTGGTGACTCAGACTGTGGCGGCCCCTCCCTTTCCCTCAATAATACGTTCTGTTGGCACTGAGGACAAATATTTCTTCAGTTTGTTTCGGAGCAAATGACCGGTCTGATAACTCAGCTCCAGGAAGGCTGTAGGGAAATAAGTGCAAGAGGAAAAGGTCAGAAAAATGGTGTGTCCCTCGGTAGGTGCTGATAACACACTTAAAAGTGAGAACCAATTGATTCCCTGTTGAAAATGTGCTGACAAAAGTCAACAATAGAAGAATTTTGTTTTTCACTTTAATGAAATTCCCTTAGAGAGGTGGTGGAAATGTGAAAATGGAAACGATGCCAGTTCACGCAGATTGATAAATAGGCATCTTACTGCATCTTATCAAATGAGTGCTGGGATATGTATGTGGTCTAAATGTGAGTGCGTTCGCAGGGATCGCATGACAGGAAATGATGCTATTGGTACCACATACCTGAACCTGGCCAGGATAGCCTCCTCCGGTGGAGAAATAGAAGGTATCATTCTGCACCGAAAAATTATGGCTTGAAATTAAATGTATTGTGATTTGGGAGATTATGTCCAGACCTTGTGTATCATGTACATATAATTTCAAAGGTTCTATGTTGGTCTGATTGCAATCACTTGTAAATGGTACTTGAATTGTCCTTTTTCTTTCTTCTGGAATAGAGGAACATGCGGGAAATGGGGAAATACCGTCATACGAAGGTTTACTAGTGCTCCTTTTTGCTCTGTGTTGCATGCAATTAGCCACACTTTACATGCTATGACAGCCAAAAGCAAAGTTCTGTTTTTGCATGCTGCTATTACAACTACGCTTTTCTCTGTATTGGCATATGTTTAAAGAAATAAGATCTGTCTCACATTGCTTAGTCGCTATAGTGAATGTAGTAAATGTGCCTTGCTTTTCCAGCATTCCCTAACCCCTAACCCTGACCGAACCCTAACCCTCATAACAAGAAACTGATCTACCAACATTAAAACTTTAACGAAAATTAATAATAACATCAATTCTGTTGCTGTCCCCGCAGCAAACTCAGGGGAATCTGAGGTTGGCTTCCTACCTGTGTTTGGACCCTGCTACATCAACCTGTATGGAAGCCCCAGAGAATTCAGTGGGCTACCAGACCCCTATGAGGATCTGAATTTTGGCCAGGTTGTAGAATAGACTCCTAGTCTTTTAAAGTCTTTTTTTGGCTTTTTATATACTGATACTAATGATTCGTGCCCATGCAGGGAGAGGGTGTGGCGTACCGGGGAAGGATTCTGGTGCAGCTGTCCACACAGCTTGAAGGGAAAGCAGACAAAACAGTGGACGATATCCACAGCGACGACATCCTTGTGGTACAGGTGCTGTGACCTTTTACAGGGCTTGAGTTGCTCTGATGATTAACGTCATATATATAGTATATTGATATATGATAGGCACTAAATGGATACTAACAAGTTCATGACTCTTCCAATCTCTCTGTCTTTTAACTGATCAGAAGTATCAGAGGAGGAGAAAGTACTGTCTGTGTGCAGTCTTCCACAGCGCCTCCATGATTCAGGAACCTGGGGAGCCCATCCAGTTTGAGGTCAGCATTGGTAACTATGGCAACAAATTGGACACCACCTGCAAACCACTGGCCTCCACCACTCAGTACAGCTGTGCTGTCTTTGATGGTGAGTAAGGGAATCTGTCTCGGGCTGTGAATGTTAATGTGATACAGTCAGTAACTTAAAACAGGACATCATGATTCTAACTAGTGTGTAATCCTTTTTTTAGGTAACCATTACTACTACCTGCCCTGGGCAAACACAAAGCCAGTGGTTGTGGTTACGTCATTTTGGGAGGACATCAACTATCGCCTGGACTCTGTCAACATTATCCTCTACATAACTCATCGTTTGGTAAAACTGCGCTGATGTCTCTAATATTTTGAAGTTGGCTTCACGATTCGCTGTCTGTTTCGCCCTAGCTTTCCATGATGGGTTCCTAAGATTTGTTTCCCATGACTGCCTGTGCAGCGATAGATGTGTGCATAATCCCCACTCTTTTGTTCTTGGTGCAGCAATCCAACCTGGAGACATTAAAAACTGCCATTTTAGCTAAAGTCTCTGAGAACCAGCTGCTAGAGGTGTGGCTGAAGTTGCTTGATCAACTGACTGAAGACCTGGAAAGGTAAGAACAGCTGTGGGTGGAATAGCCTCTGTTACCTGTGCTTCTTTTAATTTACTAAACATTTAAATTAAATTAAATCTAAAAAATGTACATGTCAACTAAAAAGGAGAATCAATCTGAAATTATAATAAAACCAAAGGGATGTTCTAGTTAAGTACAATCTTTTCTGCTCCACTCGAGTTTCCCAACACCTGACTTAGAGGGCGGCTCTAACCTCACAACTCTGGACATCCAAATCAAGAAATTGCGAGACAGCTCTTTGACCACCATCAAAGAAGCAGCAAGTCGCATGAGAGCTGAGGCTTCAGAGATCCGTGACACTGTCTCTGACTTGGAGGCCTGGCTGGAGAAACTCAAACTGCTAGCTGAGGAGGTACAATTATAGCAAATCTATCTAATTTAATTTTTAGTTTTTTTTTGTAAAACGGCACCTAACTGAAGGGATGACATCTTAGCATGGAACCAGTTTTAATTGGATCAACATCAGCTGGTTGCTTAATGTGTTCAACTTACTTTACATGAAATTTTCTTTGCATGTATGAAAAGAGACTAACTTAAAATAGTTGGACAA